CGCTGCCCCCCTCCCCGCCTGGGTGCGCGGCAGTGCGGACCCTGCGCGCTGCTCCGCAGCCTTTGTGCCGCCGCGGGCTGCACCGCGTTCCCTGCGGGCAGGCAGCGGCAGGCGGCCTGAGCGGCGGAGGGCTCCTTGGTGACGCTGTCATTTGGGTGAAGTGGAGGCGAGGGCTTCGGGGGTCTTGAGGCTGGGGTGCGGGTCGGGAGCGAGGCCTGCCTCGCGGGTGCTGCTGCTGCGTGAGTGGGGAGCCGAGATGTTGCTAAGTGTCTCCGCGTGGGTCCGAGGCCGGCTTCCTAACAAGCCATTAGGCGTTCAGGTGCAGCCCCTGGCCTGGGTGCAGGTTTCTTGGGGAAGAGGGACGACGGCAGGAAAGAAGGTCCCGGGAGCCTGGACAGTGGGCAGTGGTCTGTCCTCAGGAAAGCCGGGCAGTTTGTCTAGCAAGAGGACGCAGCAGTCATTGCAGCTTGCCGGGGCCCAGGAGCGCGGTGGGCGCGGGTGGGCGTGGGGGAGGACTTGCTGGGGAAGTCCAGAGCCCCCGGGGGTCCAGAGCTAGATGGGGGCCTCCTTTCTGCCCGCGTCATGGAGCCTGGAGCTATCTGCGCTTAAGTGGGGTGCTTTTCGGGGCGGTGGGTCTGTGGGTGCAGCGCACCTCCCAGGAGACTGGAGAGGCGGGGGCTTTCCGCTCTGCACCTCCCGCAGCACCGAGGCTCCTGGAAGAAGGGGTCCGGCGTGGCGCTGTCTGCAGTCTCCCGAGGAGGGCACCGGGCACGGACACTGCCAGGCCCGGCCACATGTCCAGCATCACTGGGAGAGGACGCTGTCTGCGGTCTGCACGGGGGTCTTGGGCAGAGCTTCAGGGTGACTGCCGGGGGCGGGGGGCGCGTATGCCCAAGGACAGGGCAGGATGGAGCTGCGGCCGTCAGCAGGTGGCAGGAGGGTGTGAGCGCGAAGGTGCTGACGCCGCCGGCTGCCCAGGGGCTCAGCGGGAAGCGGTAGGTGCAACGGGGGAGACGCAGTGCCTGGGAACGGGGGGGGGGGGGCTTTGGATGGTGACAGACTGGCCTCGGAGAAAGTCCCCCAAGAAACGGGGGGACGGGACGCGACCTAAGCCTGGGAGGGAACGTTCTGGAAGGTGGAGTCAGTTCTAGGAAATTCAGCCCAGGGATCGGGAAAGGGACTCGGCCAGGTGTGGCTGCGGGGCAGAGGGCTCTCCGGCATGAGCTCGACCCGGCGGGGGCCGGGGGGGGGGTGGCGCTGGCCAGTGCTGGGACCCCTGCAGGACGGAAAAGGGCTCCCCAGCCAGCCACCCTCCCTGGAGAAGCGAAGGGGCAGGTGGGGAAGGCAGAGGGGCTGCAGAGGACAGCAGCTGCGACACGCGCGACGCGACGCGCGCGGGGCGGGCTCTCCGGGGCTGCTGGAGCAGGGCGGGGCTTGGCTGTGAGGTCCGGGTCAGCGGCGCCGGGCCCGGCCAGGCGGCCCTCCGCAACCGGGGCTGCTCCCCTGAAGGGGCGGGATGCCCTGCAGAGCCCACGGCACCTCCGCTGTCCAGCGCCGCAGCGCAGCCCCGGCCAGCCGGCCCGTGCCCTGCACAGCCAGCGAGCGGCGCGGCGGCGGCGCAGGGGCAGCCTGGCCCAGCCTGCCCGGGCCCTCAGGCCGGCGCCCGGGCTCTGGCTCCGTGTCTTCACTCCCGTGTCTGTCGAGGAGGGAGGGAGGGACGGGGGCTGTGCTGGGGCGGCCGGAATGGCACAGGTCACCGGGCCGGCTGGGCGAGGTGGCCAGGCGGGCGGGGCGGGAGCTGCGGGGCTGCTGGCGGAGGAATCCCACCCCGACCTGCGCGGCCTTGGTGCGCGGCGAGGCGTTTCCCCTCCCGGCGCTCGTGGCCTCTCCGCCCTCTCCTGTCTGCAAGCCGGGGTGAGGCAGAGTGCGCTACCGAGCGGACGCCTCTTGTCTTTGCAACTCAGGATCTGACCCGGGCCGCTGCAGCTTGCTGGGTCTTCCCGCCCCTGCTGCCCATGCCCAGCAAGCCTGGCCTGGGTCCCCCTGTCCCTGAAGAGCCCAGGGTTTCCCGTGCAGCCCCTCCCAGGACACGCTCCCCAGCACCCTCCGAACCTCCCCCGGGGCTAAGCCCCCACCTGTGCTGTCCGCGCACTGTTGGAGGGGAGGGAAGGCCACCGCCTAGCACAGCCCCCAGGTCCCAGCCCTGGCCACCTGCAGCACGTGAGAGCGGAGGGTCCGACAGGTGCCCCTTCTTGCCAGGCTGCAAGGTCTCGCACCAGAGGGGACCCAGGGCCCCAGAGGCCATAGGAAGCACAGTCCGCTCCCACCCCCAGCCTGTGTGTCCCGGGTCAGCCCCGTCCAGCTGGGAACTCATAGCCCTGGGGAGGGCAGGCACCCTGGGCAAGAAGAGGAGGGGCATCAGCAGAGGGAGCGGGTGCTCAGGCTGGGCTTCCTGGGGTTGGGGTGCCATCCTTGCCTCCAGCCTCCCCTCCTCCCCCTGAGCACCAGGGCGCCCTTGGCCCCTGCCTCCTTCTGAGGGCTCTGGGGGACCATGAATCCAGGCGATGCTCGTGCCGGGGGCTGCCTGGACAAGACCCAGCTTGAGGTCAGAAAGCCGAAGCTGTCTCCTGCCACCCATACTGACCTTGCCTGTGCTGCCCCCAGGCGGGGTCCCTCAGTCCCCGCGCCCGGGCAGTGTCCTCCCTATCAGGTCAAGGTCACCGCCGCTGCAGCCCCACCCTGGCCCCCAGCCCAGACTGTGGGGTTCTGCCTCCCCGGGTGCTTGCATTTCTGTTGCTGAGTACTGAGAACACAGGTGCTCAGCGCTGATTGGCTCTGTCCCACAGACTGGGCGAATTCAGCTCCAGACCTCTGCCCCACCGAGGCTTAAGTCTGGAAGCAGCGGCTTTGTGGGGCAGGTGGCCATCAGCCTCCCACAGAGTCCCCAACGCCCTCTTCCCATCCCCCACCGGAGGTGCGGTCCCTGCCACCCCCTCTGCTGCCACATGGAAGGAACACTGGAGCCTGCGCTGTGGCACATGGCAGGGCTCACACTGGGGAGTTTCAGGGATCCCTGCGGCCCCTCCCTTGACCCCACCTCCTGTGCCAGGCAGGCCCTGTCCCCTGGCTCGCATGGGGAGCACAAGGAGCATCTCTGGGCCCGGACGGATGTGTGGCCTGGGAGGAGGGGCTGGCCAGTGGGTGAGGGAGCCTGAGCGGCTGGGTCCCCTGACCATGAGAGACCTTGTCCCTGACAGCCTCAGTTTCTGGGTCTGTAAGATGGGGGCGCTGCAGCACCTACATGCAGGACCCTGTGGCCACTCAGCTCTGCCTCCCCTAGGGTCCTGACCCCCAGACCCTGCCCTCCCTCACACTGCCCTCCCCACAGGTGAGCACCTGCGCATCTGCCCCCAGGGCTACACCTGCTGCACCAGTGAGATGGAGGAGAACCTGGCCAACCGCAGCCGCGCCGAGCTGGAGAGCGCACTCCGAGACAGCAGCCGCGCCCTGCAGGCCATGCTGGCCACCCAGCTGCGGGGCGTGGACGGTGAGCCAGGGGCTGGGCACGGTGGGCAGGGAAAGCAGAGACCCCAAGATGTCCAGCAGGTCACTGAGGCACAGGGTGTCAACTGCCTGTGGCCCAGCTCAGAAATAGCTCTCAGAAGCCAGGTACAGTGGCACGCCTGTAATCCCAGTACTTGGGAGGCTGAGGCAGAAGATCACAGTGACTTCAAGGCCAGCCTGAGCTACATAGTGAGTTCAAGGTCAGCCTGGACTATGTAGCAAGATCCTGTCTCAAAAAAAAAAAAAAAAAAGGAAAGGAAGGGCAGGTTCCTGGACTCCTGTTGGTGGCCTAAGGCCAGAGGTCCCTGTGACCTGAGAGGGAACCCCCCATCTGGGCCTCTGTCTCCCCACCAGGAGGCTGAGGTCTTAGGGAGCCCTGTAGGGGCATGTGGGACCCATCTAGCCTCTACTTTGGCTCTGCTGACCACGCTAGCAGACTTCTACCGAGCGCCGGCCTCCCTGCCCAGCCCCTGCTTCCTGGTAGGCCACCCCAGCATTCAGGAGGAGATGGAGAAGTGGGGCCCCCCAGAGTCTCACGCTGCTCCCCCTGTGCTCAGACTACTTCCAGCAGCTGCTGAACAACTCGGAGCGGGCGCTGCAGGATGCCTTCCCTGGCGCCTTTGGGGAACTGTACACACAGAACGCCCGGGCCTTCCGGGACCTGTACACCGAGCTGCGCCTCTACTACCGCGGCGCCAACTTGCACCTGGAGGAGACGCTGGCGGAGTTCTGGGCTCGTCTGCTGGAGCGCCTCTTCCGGCAGCTGCACCCCCAGCTACTGCTGCCGGACGACTACTTGGACTGCCTGGGCAAGCAGGCCGAGGCGCTGCGGCCCTTTGGGGACACCCCGCGGGAGCTGCGCCTGCGGGCCACCCGGGCTTTTGTGGCAGCTCGAGCCTTCGTGCAGGGCCTGGGTGTGGCTGGCGATGTGGTCCGGAAGGTGGCCCAGGTGTGGATGGGAAGGGCCAGGGATGGGGCGCTGGGGCACGCAGTGGACAGGAGACAAGGGAATGAAAGATGTGCTCGGGGCTGGAACAGGTTGGGGTTCCCGAGGCCTTGCAGGGCACAGATCATACAGGGGTGCACCAGCTGGACCAGCACATCCCCAGATATGAGCTGCAGGTCCTTAGCAAGTCACCTCCCCAGCCCCTGGGCCGCCTGGCGTGTTGTTCCCACTTCCGAGTGGGTGGTGGCTGAGACCCTCGTGATCGTAGAATGAGTGCCCAGGGTCAGCAGGCCATCTCCGATGTCCACTCCAAGCCCCACATGCCGGGGCTGCCAGGTGGGCTCAGGCTGCCCTCACTCCCCAGGTGCCCCTGGGTGCAGAGTGCTCGAGGGCTGTCATGAAGCTGGTGTACTGTGCCCACTGCCTGGGGGTGCCTGGCGCCCGGCCCTGCCCTGACTACTGCCGGAACGTGCTCAAGGGCTGCCTTGCCAACCAGGCCGACCTGGACGCCGAGTGGAGAAACCTCCTGGGTGAGCCCAGACTTGTCCCCGGGGAGCAGACCCTGGGTCCTGGGAAGCAGGTGGTTGCTGGCTCAGGCCTGAGCAGGCCTGGACAGGGCCACCTGGACCCTGACCATGTCTGAGGGGCTGTTGGGTTGGGGTAGGTTCCTTTCGAATGCCCCAAGTAGTATGTGACTTGGTTGGGGTGCATGCCCCAGGGAGCCCTGTAGGATTCTAGTTCCCTGTCCTGCCCAAGTAGCCAGAGCCCCAAACATGTATACATGCTAACACATGTGACATGGTCTACCAGCTCCTGCATAAGCTAACATGCACGCATTGTGGATGCTGGCACATGTACAAGCTGGCATGTTCCTGTGCTGCGTACGGGGGCCAGCATGCTTTCACACTGATATGGAGGTGCCTACTTGTGCACTTGGTGTACATACATGCCAACACGCATGTGCATCTTTCGGCATGAAGTCAGTGTGCGTACATTTCAGCACGTTCCAGGTAATAGGCATGTGCCGCATGTGCCTAGTGTGGTGTGAGTCAACATGCTTATATGACAACATGTGAAAATTACATGCTGATGCTGTGGGCCAATCCATGCATGCTGGTATTTGTGTGCTAATGTGCATTCAAAGGCATGATATAAGCCAGTGAGGAAACTTAACGTGTGAGTTTCTTGTATGTGTATATAAAATGTGCTGCATTACACAATGTAGACACAAGTGTGCACGGGCTGGCAGAGGCAGCAACGTGCGTACACAGCAGCTCACAGAGGCCAGCACGTAGGTGAATGGAGGGCGAGTGTGCATCCATGCCAACACCTGCCTGAGCTGATATGTAACGTGCATGTGCATGGCACAGCGTGCGCACATCGGTGTGTACTGTGCTGAGTAGTCCTGGGGCCACACAGAGTGAGCTGGGCCTGCTCAAGTGTGCCTGGGGCCCCCTACTGGCTGCACTTTTGACTGGGGCTGCAAGATTGTAGGTCACGAACATGCATGTGTGACGTGTGTGTATGTGTGCACGCATATTAACACCCATGCCAGACTCCATGGTGCTCATCACTGACAAGTTCTGGGGCCCGGCGGGCGCGGAGAACGTCATCAGCAGTGTACACATGTGGCTGGCGGAGGCCATCAACGCCCTTCAGGACAACAGGGACTCGCTCACAGCTAAGGTGCGGCAGGAGGCCCTGGTGGGCATGGAGGGCTGCCCTGACACTGCCCGCCTGGCCCAGGGTGCCCTGCTGCCTCTCCAGGAGCTTATGGTATCTCCCCAGGTCATCCAGGGCTGCGGGAACCCCAAAGTGAACCCCCAGAGCCCGGGCCCGGAGGAAAAGCCACACCGGGGCAAGCTGGTGCTGCAGGAGAAGCCCCCCACAGGTGCCCTGGAGACGCTGGTGAGTGCCCGCCACCCTCCTGCTGCCCGTCCTGTGCCTGTGTGGGGAGGGCAGGTGGCCTGACCACCCAGCGGCCTGAACACTGCCCACAGGTCTCTGAGGCCAAGACCCAGCTCCGCGACGTGCAGGACTTCTGGATCAGCCTCCCCGGGACACTGTGCAGCGAGAGGATGGCCATGAGTCCCGCCAGTGATGACCGCTGCTGGAATGGGATGGCCAAGGGCCGGTGAGTGCCTGCCTGTGTCCTGACATGACGCGGCAGCCTGGGGAGCGGGTACAGAGAGCACGCCCTCGCCTGGGCTGGCTCCCACAGCATGCCCTGCCGCGGAGGGGCGAAGCCGCCGTTGGTCCCTCTGTAAGGGCCAGCACAGTGACCGGCGCTGCCCTCCCTACCCCACCCCACCACCAGGTACCTGCCCGAGGTGATGGGTGATGGCCTGGCCAACCAGATCAATAACCCCGAGGTGGAGGTAGACATCACCAAGCCAGACATGACCATCCGGCAGCAGATCATGCAGCTGAAGATCATGACCAACCGGCTGCGTGGCGCCTATGGCGGCAACGATGTGGACTTCCAGGATGCCAGTGAGCACCGCAAGGGCTGGGCTAGGGTGGGCGCCTTGGTGCTGAGAACCCCAGGGGCCCACTAGGGCCTCTGCTCCCCACTCCAGGACCTGCAGCCCCACGCCCTCACGGGGGCTAGGGGTGACTGTGCTGCTGCTGCTGTCGCTGCCAGCGCTGAGCAGTCACCCACCCGTGTCCCTGTGGCACAGAGGAGGCCCAGGCAGGCTGCTCCTCTGGCTGTGGCTCTAGGGGGACAGGCGGAAGCAGACCAGGGCGAGCCTGGGCCTCCTGCCCGGCCGGACTGCTGTGGACATGCGCACACAGAGGACCTCCAGGCCACCAGGCACTCAGGGCCCCCACTGGCAATGGGCTGCTGGAGCCTCCTGTCCTCCGCAGGTGACGATGGCAGTGGCTCAGGCAGCGGGGGTGGCTGTCTGGACGACACCTGCGGCCGCCGGGTCAACAAGAAGAGCTCCAGCTCTCGGACACCCTTGACCCACGCCCTCCCTGGCCTCTCAGAGCGCGAGGGACAGAAGACCTCGGCCGCCGGCTGCCCCCACGCCCACACCTTCCTCCCACTCCTCCCCCTTGCTCTGGTCCTCGCAGCTGCTGGGCCCCGGTGGCGGTAACTGCTCCACAGCCCAGGGGACTGAGGCCAAGGACAGACTTTGCCAAAACCCAAGACAGACGATCTCTAATCCCCCACGGCCTGCAGAGGTTCAGGGCAGGACGGGGGACCGCGGCTCTCTGTGCTGGGCAGGGTATGCGGGGCCCTGGCCCCCAGGCCTGGCCTCACCTGGCTTTTAATTTTGTAATGAGGTCCTCAGGTCAGCTGTGAGCCAGTGTCCCCAAAAGCCATGTATTTCAGGGACCTCAGGGGCACCTCCGGCTGCTTCCCCCTCCCCCTCACTCTCTCCCCCCACCACAGAGCCAGCCCCACCCAAGGCCTATGAGGAGGTGGCCCTCAGAGTGTCCCGCCTGAGACCTCGCACGAGCCTGTGCCTTCCTGTCCTGCTCCTCCTGGCCTCCAACCTCAGAAAGAGAGGCCCAGCCCTCAGCCTCCAGGAGCCTGCGAGCATCGTCAGGGTCCTGCCCAGGGCCTCTGGGCTTATGCATGCTACCTTCCACTTGGCAGGGGCTCTGCAGCTGGGCTGGCCCTCCTGTGCCACTGTGGAGCCCAGTGGATGGGTCCCCAGGTGGTGCACAGAGGGGTGGCTTCTGGCCTGGCCACTCAGGCACTAACCGCCACACTTCTCTTTGGGGTGGGGCATGAGCCCCAACACCCAGGGAAGCAGTGTGGCACTCTGCATTTAGGGGCTTACACAGGCAGGCTTCCAGAGTCTGCACCAGGGACCTCACTTCTGGGGAGCAGCCGGCCCCTACCCTATCCCACGCAGACAGGGTGACACAGACAAGGCTGTCACCCGGCCACAGGAGTGGGGCTGGCCAGTGGAACTTCAGCTCAGGGCTGGTGAGACCTGGCACTGCAGGCCAGAGGACACCTGGGCTCTCCCGACCCTGGCCAGTGCAGGGGGCAAGGAGTGTGACAGTCAAGGGCTTTCCAGACACGCGCACATGCACTCTCCCTGTCCCCGCCTCTGAGAGCTGCGCTCAGCCGTCCTGCACAGCGTCAGCAAGGCCTGGGCCCCGCCAGGCTGCTGGTGCGCCCAGCTGACCAAGGCCGTCAGGGCCCTCTCCATGCCCAGCCAGCCCTCCCTGCCAGGCCCAGAGCTGCAGGCCCTGGGGAGGGGGTGGGGTCATGAGGGTCTGGGGACCGCTGAGCTGCTGTGGCTGGGAACAGTGGTCTCGACCTCAAGATGGCCAGAAGCGGCTGAGTGCTTTGCTTTGCTCGCTGGGTCAGGAAGGCCTTCCTCCAAGTGTGTGTGCAGCATGGCGGACCAGGGCTCTGACCCCTCATCGCTCTCCTGGCGCAAGACAGGTGTTTTGTGAAATTGTTCTTAGACGTGTGGGCCCAGACCCTCGCCTAGAGCCATGCAGGCTGGGGGTGGGAGCCAGCCGGTCACTGGTCAGAGCTCTGAGCAGGTCCGCTGCGTCCTTCCTCCACGACAGCCCTGGCCGCCAGTGCCAGCAGGGGATGTGTTGAATCCTTGTATCAATAAACGGCTGGAGACCTACAGCAGGACAAGCTGTGTGGCTGCTCTGACCTGTGTGCTCCCAGCGAGCAGTGTGTGTATATGTGAGTGTGAGCGTGTGCACAGCCAGATGTAAAGCAGGACCCTTAGGGAAGGGGAGGCCTCACGTGCGTGGCCCTGAGCTCACCTGTGTGGGTCCCCTCAGCCAGCTCTGAGAGTCTTGTGCTGTCAGACCCTTCTAATCCAGGACTGGGCAGCCTCCAGGGCCAATGGGAGGAGGTGGCCCAGACACGGGGGTCTAGGCAGCATCACAGGCCCCCAGCACTGCACACCTACACCTACACCTCCAGCCCCTGGGAGGTTCCAGCTCCTGCTGGGTGGCCTCAAAGTTGCCCAGGCGGTTACTGTCAGAGCAATATCTTCTGGTGGATGTCCCCATGGTCCAGTCTGTCCACAGGGACCCTGCCACAGGCCAGTGTGGTAGCTCTCAGAGAAGCTCTCTCCTGGGCATGTGCCACCAATGGGCTGCTTTATGTGGGAGCTGGCAGGCCACTCTGGTCTACCCAGCAGACATTCCATGTGGCATTTCTCTCACAGCACTGGACTGCTGAGTTCCAGCCAGGCTGCACCGAGAGAGACATGCTCCAGACACAGCTTCCAGGGGTGCAGGAGCCCAGCACTAGCCTCTGGGGACACTTAACACTGGCCAGGCCCCCAGAGCAGCCACGGTCACTGCTGCGTCCTCACACACGCGCCTTTCCCTGAGTTCCGGGCAGCTGGTGGCCCAGTTCCTGGGAGATGAGGCGGGGCGGTGGGCTGTGGGGATGGGTGGGTGGCCAGGGGCTCACTGTCAGGGCTTCTGTTCAGCTGCTGCAAGCTCTCTGCACGCAGGGACAAGCACACCCTCCCTGTCCGGGAAAGGACACAGCTCACACCGGGTTCTGGCAGAGTGCCAGATCCTGCAGTTTGGGCCCAGCCTGGCTTTCCCTAGCTCCCAAGGGTGCCCCAAGGGGCTGGCCGGGGTGAGTCACTCCTGCTGTCACAGGCTTTTCAGACCGTCACCATCCTCGTGGGAATGGGGAGCCGCAGACCTGCAGGGCAGACACCAGCCAGCCCAGTGCTTCCCTGGAGCATCCCACGCCACTTGGGGCCATCCTGGCAGCCGGCATGGTGGTATCTGCAGCACACGTGCAGATGAATGGCTTGTCCATGTACACGCACATGTGCACACACACGCTTGCTTACCCACACATACAAGGTCTAAAAAAAAAGTATGTTTAAATAGTTTAAAATGTAAAAGACACCAATCTTTAGGGAAGTGCAAATGGAACCGTGACAGAACCCCACCTCACACTTGCTGGACATTAGGATGGCCACTGTCCAGGACGGTGAGGCAATACGGGTTTGCAGAGTTGCCGAGGAAAGAGGACCTCGTGTACACTGTTGGTGAGAATGGAAACCCGTGCCTCCGCTACAGAAAACGGTAGGCAGGTTCCTACCACCATGTGCCCCCTGACCCACTGCTAGGTGCCCAGGGAAGGACCTGTGCAGGCGGGCACCCTGAGCAGGTATCCACCACCCTCCAGGCTCACTACAGAGTCCTTTCCCACGGCCAGATGTGGGCTCTACCTAAGGGTCCGCTGACAGGTGAGTGGGCAGAGAGAATGCGCTAGTACATCCTATGGGGATTTCTCGAGCGAGGAATCCTGCAGTCTGCAGCACAGGTGGACCTGGAGGGCGCTGCACTATGGGAGATCACTACTAAGGGAAATCAGCAGACACAGAAAGACAAGTACGGTATGAGCTCACTTATACGTAGAGCCTAAAGCATTCACTCTTAGAAGCAGACACGATGGCTGTCAACAGCTGGGGGCGGCACGGAAACGTGTTGGTCAAAGGTACCAACTTTCATTTAGAACAGCTAGGTGCTGGGGATCAGTGTGCAGTGTGGTGACTCTAGTTAGTAACACAGTATCATTCACTTAAAATTTGTTGAGAGAAGCTGGGCATGGGGATGCATACCTATAATCTCAGCACTCAGGAGGCTGAGGCAGGAGGATTCCTGTGAGTTCAAGGCCAGGCTGGGCTACAAAGTGAGTTCAAGGCCAGCCTGAACTACATGGTGAGACCTTGTCACAAAAAGACAAAAAAAGTTGTAGAGTCTGGGTGGAGGCAGTGCTTGTTGCGTAATCACGTGGGACTGTGCTGTGTGCGCCTAGTGAACCAAGCACAAAGCAGGAGGCAGATGTGACAGTGAAGCAAAGCTCCTCGGTCGAGTCACACCACGCAGGGTCTGTCCCTGCCAGGCAGAACGTCACTGGTCAGGAGGGAGGACCTCCCTGTGAGAAGGGCAGAGGAAAACCAAGGCCACTTCAGCACATGCACGCATGCGGTGCAGTGCCAATGGGGCTTGCGCTCGCCACAGGAGCTGCATGACCTCCCCAGGAGCACTGAGAATGCGCACTGTAAAGCAGAACATGCTCAAGGGCAGACAGACTAACCTCCCAGAGTCCAACCAGGGGGTGAACAGGCCCTGTGCACACAGCCGCCTTCAAAGACCGCACCTTCGGACCTGGTGACCACCCGGGGCGCAGAAGGCACACAGTCCCTCTGCAGGGACGGAGGCACTGTGCACGGGGAGGGCGGGCCGGCAAGGTGGCTGAGGCGACAGAGTCAGCCGTGCCATCCCGGCTGGACTTCAGGACACCAGAGAAGGTGTACGTGTGTGCCACGCCAGGGCACACATGTGCCCATGCAGGTGAACAGGAGTACGCATGCCAAGATGTTCAGAGTGCTTGTCCTCAAATACAGAGGCCAAGATGATTTTCAGTATTGTTCTTGCCTTCATGTTTTTTTTTAACAGTAAGCATGTATTCCATACATGATCGGAATAAAAAATAAGAAAGCAATTTTCATTTGGGAGAGAGGATGCTGCAGAAAACCGTCACTGGAAGATGAGCACGGCCTCATCTGGAGCGTGCTGAGCACGTGTGCTGTCTACGTTCACGCGTGTGTCTCCATCCCCGTGTCCTGGGAGCCAAGAGAGATGGGGGCAGGACTGGAAGTACACGCAAGGCTAGCGGCGTTGTCACTCGTGTGGAGATGGATAACTGGTGTCTTCGTCTGCTTGCTTTGCTTTACATCTATTCCCTAACTTTAATAAGGGCTACGTCTAACCCCAAACAGGAAGCCCGGGGAAAAGCCCCTTCCTCCACGGCCGTGTGGGAGGCAGAGGCGGCTCAGGCAGCAGTCTCCACCCTGTATCCTCACCAGCAGTGGCGGGGCTGGGAGGCGGCTCTCCCACAGGAACAGCAGTTGGGGGGCTCCGGAGGGCCCCCATTCAGAGAAAGCCACCCCACTGAGGGAGGCACCCCCTCCTGCAGGTGCCTTCCTTGCCCAGAGCGCCCCGCAACCCTGACGGCTGCGAAGTCACTGTGACAGGAGGCAAGAAAATCAGGTAAAACTCAATTCCACAACTGCGGGCCCAAAAGGCAGCCCGGGGAGTGGGGGCCGCACCTGCCTGGCTCCAACCCACCTCCACCTCCCCTCCTACCACGCCTCCCCAGCTTCCCTGCTCCTGGCAGAGAGCCCAGCTCCACCTGCCCTGGACACCCACCATTCTCTCAGGCGTGCCATCCCCAGCTTGCCCCTAGGTGGGGGGACCCCGCTCGCCCTCACCTCCCCCTTCCACCTCCTCCCCAGAAAAGGAGGTCTGACTGTCTGCACGGCGCAGTCCTGCTGCCCTCTCTCTTGATTGCAGCACTCCTGTGTACTCAGTATCCGCCCCCCGAACGCACGCGGTACCTGGGAGAGCAGGCACGCTGGATCGCATAAAGAGCCAGGAGCCCCAGCACCAGGACAGAAGGAAGGGGCTGGCCGCATGGCTCTGGGACATCCTGGGACCCCATTCCAGTGGTCACCACCCCCACATGCACAGAGCGCTGGTCCTCCACCTGCCTGTACCTGCAGGACGGTGCACAGCCAGGCCAGGGAGTGGGAGGTCAGCAAGGCAGGCAGCCAGTGCTGGGCCCCCCAGAGGGACAGAGCAGGGCACAGACCTTCAGGCAACTCCATGGCCACTTTATTGCATGGTAGATGGCAGATGCCACACATGGCCCAAGTGCAGAGGTTTCCTACCTAAGCCCCCCCAGAGCCCAAGGTGACCGGTGGGCACAGCTGTGGACGCTCCCCGGGCCCAGCCTTGGGCACTGCTCCTTCACTGAAGGTCTTCCACCCTCTCGTCAGTACTTATGGAGCTGGGCACTGGACAAGAGAGGCACAGGGAGGAGAGGTCAGGCCCGGCTCGCTGCACCCTCCATCCCAGCACCCGTGGCAAGAGCTCCAGGGCCGGGCTGAGGGTGCACCCGCTTCTGCAGCAGCCCCACCCTCGGGCCCCAGAAGAGCCGCCCTGCCCAGGTCCTGGGTGCACAGCTCCTGTGTCAGACGCTCACTTTCCCAGAGGATGAGTCAAAGGCGCGCCGCCAGCAGGCTTGGCTCAGCCCCTCCACCCACGGGGCTCTGAGGAAGCCTTGCGCCCATCCTCCCCCAGCTTGGACCAAGCCCACTGCACAGGACGCCTGCTGCGGCTCAGCAGAGCGGGCAGGAAGTGGGCAGGAGAGCATGGGCTCTACACAGAGCCCTGTCCACCATGAGCTGCGCCGAAAGCCGGGCTGCAGCACGCCCACCTCAGCCCGGTTCCGAGCAGAGCCCTCAGGTGCAGCGGAGCCCGGGCCTCCAGGCCCCAGCAGCCCCGCTGGGGAGCCTGAGTGTGAAGCCCGCACAGACGAGACCCTTTCCCCTGCTGCTCCCCAACTCCCCCTTGCCTGGCTCCCGCAGGCCTGTACCTGTCCTCTGCCGGCCCAGCATGCCCAAAGCCACCATTTCACTGCAGTCCTTCTTGTGGAACTCGACCCAGGCCCTGGACTTGCAGTACTTGCTGCAGGTCAGGATGCCATAGCAGCGGGCGCAGGGCGCGAGGCGGACACCGATGGAGCGGCCACACTGGTAGCAGACCTTGAAGAAGGGCATGCTGCGACAGAGGGCAGTCATGTGGGGCCACGCCTGCCCCGCTCGGGCTCCCCAGCAGTCCCTGACATCCCCAAGTTGGGCAGCGCCACAAGTGGACAGAGGGCGCGTAGAGCAGTCAGAGGGTGGTCAGCATGGCCTCTGAGCCATGGAACAGTGTCAGGGCTGGCCCTGAGGACCATCCCCACCACCGGGGACACCACAGGGCTCTAATGGGGCCGAGAGGCTTCCCGAGCACACAGAACAAGCGTGTGGGTCTGGGGTGGGATGTCCGTGACTGGAAGCCCCAGCCTCTGCCCGCCTGGCCAGTCGCCCTGTCACCAGGCTCCTCAGGAGGAGTGTGTGGGGCCCTTGGGAGGAAGGCATCTCGCAGGCCACACACGTGGAGGCTGCCCCTGCCAGACCCCTGGAGAGGCCAGCAGAGACCTCTGAGCTTAAACCTCGCTCCGCCCTCCCCAGGGCAGTCACCCGCACACAGCTGTGGAGCCCGCCTGTGGGCCATGTGCAGGGCCACCTGGACAAGGCCATGCCGCTCAGGGACAAGGGAGCAGGGCCGTGCCGGGAGGGGGCAGCAAGGTCCAAGCCACAGGCCGCCACCAGCAGCACGCCACACCCTGAGGGCCCCGCTGCACACTCACAGCTCCCGGCCCTCTGTGTCCAGGGCCTTGACCGGGCTGAAGCTTCTCTTCTTCACCCTCTGGCCAGGGCACAGCTCCACTACGTCACAGAGAGGCCAGCATCAGTGCCGTGCGGAGGGGCAGCCACAACAGCAGGGCCACCCGCCTACTCAGAGCCCCCACAGCCCCCAGAAAGGCCACTAGGTGGCACCAGACTCTCTTGGGCCTGGCCCAGCTCCCGGCCCCTCCGCAACCACTTGAGGACTACTTCACCATCCCGCCTTGACGCCCACCACCCAGGCTGCCGGCCATCGTCTGCTTGCGGAGTGACACCTGAGCTAACGGACATCCGAGGAAGCCTGGGGCGGCCCGCAACCCCGAGGGGATGACACGATTTAGACAGGGCTCTTGACCTTTCTCTCTCGCCTGCTGTGCTCCCTACACTTCACCGAGAGGTTTGATCTCTGGGATGTGCGGCTCGACCTCTTCGCAGTGTGCGGCCCAAGGCCAGCGCCCCCAGTGTCCCTCTGCTGCATCCCCACTGCCTCGGAGCCCCGGCCGCAACGCACTGACAGCTCCAGAGTGCCTCCTCTGTGTCCCTCAGACGCCCCGGCTGCACACCACCATTTCCCCTCCCTTCTCTCAGTACAGTTGTGACGGCTCCTCCAAAGCCTCTTCCTCTCCAACCTGGGCCCTGGTGTCCCTCTGCAGACTGTTCTTTGCCCCACCTGCCGCCCCATGCCTGGGCCACGCTCTCCTGGGATTCGCGGCAGTGACACTGGAGGAAGTCCACTGCAGCATGCCTCATTGGGTCTCCTCAGCCACCCTGGCCCTGGCAGGGCACTGTCTGTACCTCCCCACCCCAGCATGGGCTCCTGGCACTGCTCCGCAGGCCTACAACCTGGGCCATGGGCGACAGTGCTCGGGGAGATCGCTCTGTCTCTGCTCACAGCCACGCCCAGATATTGGCTCTGCTGACCAAGGGCTGACTACGCCATGACTTTATAAAATGTCCTGGGACATGCACCCCGGCCCAGACAGAACCAAGCAAACCACAGATTTTCAAGGGCAAAGTCCAGCGGTCATGTTTGCGATCTGTTCCTGGCCGGCATGGCCTCTCCCCGCACTCTCTCCCTATCCTCCCTGGCCAGGTCTCCAAGGATCTGCCATCTCTTCCCAGCTGCTCTCACCAGTGGCGTGTACTGCTCTGCTCTGTCAGAAACAATGCATGTGTCTTTGTCAGAGCTCACGATTGCATCGGGTGGCTCTCACAGCCAGGCTGTGGAGGTGGCTGGGGACACGGTGGTGTCTCCATGAGGGGCGGAGAGGAGGAGGTGGTCGGTTCAGGTCTTCCCAGCCTGGCTCCCCAGCCTGGACCCACCGCCTCTGAGCTGCTACGGGAGGGGGGGCAGAGCCTGGTGCCCTTGGGGACACCACACCCGAGCAGAGCTGGGGTCCCACAGGTGACCCCGGGTGACAGAGGCTGTTATGGCTTAGATTAGAAATGTCCCTGTCTTGGCCACTTTCTTCATCACTGAGATACAAGTCTGACACCCACAACTCCAGGAAGGACAGGTTTGTTCTGCCTCATGGTTACAATCTGAAGTCAGCTGCTCCACGGCAGGACAGCTAGGCAGAGGGGCCTGGCAGAGCAGAGCTGCTCAGGGCATGGCGGATGGGAAGCAGAGAGCGAAGGGGGGACCCAGGGAGGGAGAGCACCCCTTCCAGGCCACGGCCCCAGTGACCACCTCTTCCAGCCAGACCCCACCTAACAGCGAGTCAGCTATGAGCCGCCCATGATTCACTGACCTCTGAGCTCATGAGATTTTGCAGGGACACCAGATATAAACCCTGACAGTCCCCAGAAGCTCCTGGCCCCAGCATGGCAATGTTCAGAGTGGGGCCTTTGGAAGGCGACTGCGTCATGAGGGCCAACTGATCAACGGGTTAATAGCATATGGGCTGGGGGTAGGGCCGGGTTATGAAAGGGATCTCTCTCCCTCTCTCTCCCTCTCTCTCCCTCTCACCCTCCCCTCCCCAGCCTCCCCCTCTCCTCCCCCTCCCCCTCCCTCTCCCTCTGTCCTTCCCAGGCATGAGGTGAGCAGCTCACCCTCACCACACCCCTCACCCAACGCTCTGCCTCACCACAACAGAGCCAAGTGACAGGGACAGAAGCCTCAGAAACCATGGAAACCTGTCCTGTGGGCTGGTCTTTCAGTGACAGGGAGTCGGCACAGAAGCCCCACATCTCAGCCAGGACATGTAGAGGCAGCACACCCCAAGGGACAGGCACACAGGGCCGTGCCAAGGCAGCGGGTGGTGGGTGTGGCGTGTGTGGAGGGGAGGGGTGGGCACACGTGAGCCTGTGGAACAGTGAGCGGGTTCTGGGCACGGACAGGGCCACCATGGTATCATGTGGCTGCACAGTGTGCAGGAGGGGCCGCCAGGCATGTGGGGAGGGGCAGAGGCGCATGTGGCCTGTGTGACACGTAGATGGCTGTGTGGCCGAGGGTGTGGGGTGGTGAGCGTGCGGGTGCACTCGTGTGCATGCCTGGGGGCAGGCAGTGCACATGGGTCTGGGGCTCTGCCTGTGGGGAGGGTGCCAGAAGGAGCTGGCGGCTGTGGGTGGGCAGGGCGGTGTGCACACGTCTCTGCGGGTGTGCCGGGTGTGTGAGGGCTGCACGTGGTGAGAGGGCGAGCTGGGTGCGTGGGTGTTGTCTGCGGGTGTGAAGGGAGAGGGCCCTGTGGCGCGATGCCACACACACGCCTGTGGCAGAGGAGCGGGAGAGTGCCGCGAGACGGGAAGCAGAGCCGAGGGTGTGGTAGGGACACATGGGGCCTGCACGCTGGGGCAGGGGTCTGGGCATGCACCCCACACGCACACCCACGTTTTCTGCTCTGGGACATTGCCTTCCTGTCCCACTGCCGCTCCTTGGCAAGCACAGCACGCCGCAGCTGCAAGCCCATGTGCTCCAGGAGCCTCTTCCGGGCCAGGAAGGTCTCCCGCTCCGCCGGCAACAGCGCGTGGAAGGGGCAGTGGGCAATCTTCCGGTCCTGTGGTGCACCGCAGGGTCACTGCAGGGCCACCATGAGGCTTCGGGGAGGTCCCCACTCCTGCCAGGAGCACCCCAAGGATCATCCCAGCCCGCACTGTGCTACCTCTGTCCTCGGTGACCATGCAGACACCCTGAGACCCACAGGTGCCCACGGGACCCACACACTGCGGCAGGGCTCCCGGAGCCCAGGACGGCTGCAAGGCCCCAGCTCTGCCCAGGAGAAGCTCAGGCCCCCGCAGGCCCTGCTCAGGAACCTGGAAGAACTTGAAGTAGCCGTAGTCCACCGCTGTGCCCACTGCCATCTTGTCAGCCTGCACGAGCGTCACCGGCTTCAGAATGTCGGCCCCATGGCTCAGGAGCCGGTCAATCTGAGGGGACAGAGTCTGTCAAACAAGCCAGGCCACCTAGGAAGCCAAAGAGTCACCCTCATCACGGGCTCGGCCACGTAGGTCACAAGGCCCACAGCTTCCAAGCCCTGCAGACAAAATCACCAGAGGGCAGCCCGGGGGCCCGGCCCTGCCCGGAGCAGGGTGGCCTGGAGGGGGTCTGCAGCAAGCCACCTCCAGGCGTGTTGGGCATTCGGAAATAAATGGGTAACAGGGACGAGAAGTGACAGCCCACGCCTCACCCAAAGGATCCCACACCTCAGGGAGCCTACCTGGCTGCTCCTGCCTGGTGCTGAGATCCAGTTCCTGCCCTGCCCCTAGCTGTCAGCCACGTGATACAAAGATCAGGTGGGTCTTGGGCCTCGTCATACCTCACAGGTGCTTAGAGAGCCAGCGCATGCGTGCATGTGTGGGTTCAAGCACGTACATGAATCTGCACATGTGCATCTGTGGCACGTGGGCTGTGAGCACACATGCGTGCGCACGTGTGTGTGTGTGTGTGTGTGTGTGTGTGTGTGTGTGTGTGACTCCCAGCAAACCCTCCCCAGAAGAGGCAGAGCACTGACTGCATCAAAGCACATGACACCACAGACACCCCTGCCAGCACCTGACAAGGCAGGAAGCAGTTTCCACCCAGCCCAGGGCACGAGCAAGGCCTGGCGGAGGACCCCACAGAGATCCCCTCCCCCAGCAGGAGCCACGACCCCAGAGGGAACCAAGACAGCCCCTCCCCACCTCGGGGCAGAATGGTCACCGCCTGGAACCAAGTTGCCCCTCAGGCAGGCAGGAACTTGCAGAGCTATGCAAACACAGCTGAGATACAGTGGCCGGGCCCCAGCCCCCCTCGGCTAATCCATGAGAGACGGCCTCACGTTTCTTGGGCACCCAGTCAGAACCCCTGCACCAGGGTAAGGCCCCAGATACTCCAGGGCCTCGGCCCCTTCTCCCTCTCTTCTCCCCAGTGGCTCTGCCAGTGCCTCCCCTGACGCGTCCTGGAATTCTTTCTCCACGACAGTCAAGAATCTACCTTGAGGGGGCTGAGTTGAGAGCCCCATCTCCTCTTTGGGGCCCCTCATACCCTGACTGGTGACAGGATCATTGCTCAGTGCCCCTCAGCTGGCACAGGATCTTAGGCAGCCCGGCCTGTTGCGCTCTGCCCCGTGGGCCTGGCCGCTCCTCCTCACCAGCATGATCTTGCTGTCCGTGCTCCTCTGCTGCTCGTAGGCCAGGTCACAGACGACGCACAGGGCACTGCCCAGGCCTCTGGTCAGGGGCAGGTTGGGGTCAGCTCCGCAGGACAGGAGCTCCTTCACGATCTGGATAGGCAGGCTCCTCAGCAGCTGGCTTATCACCTCCCTCACAGGTCTCCCTGAGGCCACCCCAGGGCAATGGCTTCCCGGTGTCACCAAGAGCTGCGCTGGATGGGGCGGCCATAAGGCCAGCCCCTAGGGAGGTCCAGCTCCCGTACTTCCTCTGGGCCTTGCCCAGGTGCAGCTGTTTTGAGGGTCCTGGGTCCCTTCTTGCTTTTCATCGTGGGCAGAGCCAGGCTCTAGGGCAGCTCCTCCCTGCACGGGGTCAAGACATCCTCTCTGGCCCCTTTGATTGCTCCTCCTCCATGAGCTCTTTTCTCTTCGTAACACCTATTACTGCCTGAGATTGTCTTATACATTAGTTTATTGTCTGCCTTCCCCAGCTAGAATGGGGGGTGCTTCTGAGTAGGGGCTTTGTTCTATTCAAAACCTACTGCCTACAATGGTGCCTGCCTACACACAGGTGCTCAACCAGTGACATTTAAACAAAAGGAGGGATGAGTGAATGGAATATGGGTAGGTGGACGGATGGGTGAGTGGGACAGATGGGTGGGTAGACGGACGGATGATGGCGGAAAGGAACTAGAGCCTAGCTTGATGCCTGCGCCTGCCCAGCATAGCTGCTTAATAAATTAAGGGAGAGCATGGGTGGGTGTGTGGACCATGGGTGGATGGAACTGGTAAGTGCACAGGTGGGTGGGCGGGTGAGTGGGTGTGGAATGGGTGAGTGAAAAAAGGATGGTGATGTGTGAGTGAGTGAATGGGTGGATGAGTGAACAGATGAAGGGAGGACGGGATGGATGCAAGAAGGGTGGAAGCAAAGTTGGACAGATGTGTGGCTGGATGAGTGGGTGGGCGAGTGGATGGACAGGAGGACAGAAGGGTACATGGGTGAACAGAACGTGACCAGTTGGATGGGTGGCTAAAGGGATGAGTGGTTGGAAGGGTGTGGGGCAGCTGAACAACTGGAGGCAGAAACCGCACAGGCCCAGGCCCCAGGCAGACACACTCACCAGGTCGTTCCCACTGGCGATGGACAGGGAGAGTGGGGAGTGGCCGCTCCACAGCAGGTTGGGATCCGCCCCATGGGAGAGAAGGAGCTGCACAACGTCCCTGGCACACTGGGGAGGGGATGAAGGCGGAAACATCAGATAAGAGGCCCGGTGCCTCCCGTGAAACCGGCTGGGGTCCTTAACGTAAATGCCTCACAGCCAACAGAGCCACAGCAACACCTGCCAGGGCACGGACTTCCAAGTGCGGGGCGGGTGGACTCGGAGGGAGAAAGGTGTCTCCTAAACATCCTCACTTCCAGGCAGACAACAGGAAGGATGCAGGTGCATACGGGGACTTAAACCTTGTTCTCAAAGGGCCAGGGCCAGGCAGGGCTGCAGGGCCACCTCAGAAGGGCTGACTCCGGCAGGGGTGGCAGAGGGACGTCCCTCACCAGGCACAGTTCCTGCAAGATGACCCCAGTGCACGCACAGGAGCCCCACCCGGGTGCCATACGCTGCCCACGGGGGTCCCCACGCCTTGGCCCCAGCCCTGGCCCTGAAGCCTCTACTTTCTCCTGCGCCTTGAGGACCGCCCATTTTGCAGCCGTTTCCCCTTCCCGTTCTCCCCAGGAGTGTTCGAGGAGAGTGGCCCCTCCACTGCCTCAACTATTTTCTAGGTGCCACGGGAACCCTCCACTGAGCCCGCCTCCTCGGGGGCCCAGAGCCCAGCCTGCATACCTGCTCCCATTCCCACAGACTCACAGGAGGAGAGCTGTCCTTCTCCTCTCCTTGCTGAGATGCACATGTGATGGCTGGGCAACTGTACCCTCCCTGCCTTCACAGCTGGCAGCTCATGTGGCTCCTGCACACACACGCACACGTGTGCATGTGTGCATCACCCAGGCAGGCACCCACCTCCACACCCATGCTCCTGTACACACAACAGCTCACGCAGACACTCACATGTGCACACACACATGCACACCGGGCATTAGCGGCTGCCTGGCTGAGGCTCCTCTGACCTGGGAACCCCTGGGGCTCAACACATGGGGCCCCACCCTGGGCTCTTCCTCCCTCCTCACCACGCCTGGCCACGGCTCAGCACTAGTGGGACAGCAGCCCCGCTCTGACAGACAGCCTGCCAGCCCGGCCCAGCCACTCGCCTTGTTGTTGTCCTCCCGCTCGCAAGCCACGTGCAGGGCCGTCCTGCCGCCCTCCTCCACGACGCGCGTGCTCACCGTGTAGTAGATGCTGGGTGGGCCTGGCTCATTGCTGAGCTTCAGGCTTGAGGGCAACAGCTCCAGCTGTGGGCAGCACAGAACCCACTCGAGCCTCTCGTCAGCCATGGCCCCGAGGGAACTCTGACCACGCACTTCCTCCTCATGCATGGGGAGCTTTCCGAAGTCTGGCCTCTCCGTGCCTGCTCCGAACCACCTGATGCTACCCTGTGACCACCTCCCAAGCCTCCCACACGCAGACCCACACTCACAGGTGTCCCCACACTCCCACATGCTCAGAGTCTCCAGGGGGCTCTGTGGCCGGAGGAGAAGTGAGGCGTGGCTCACAGGACAGCGCACAGCTGGGGCTCAGGTGGCATGGGAATGAGGGGCACCTGTTCCCCATGTGCACTTGTGCTGAAGCCCCACCTCGGTCTCCCAGCAGCACCTGGAGAGCCACCCTGGCAGTTGCTGTGCTGCCCGGCCCCTCCCAGGCACACCTGCCAGCACACCTGGTGGCAGAGGGCGTCAGCCCCACCCACCTTGTTGCCCAGTGGCCACAGCCCTCGGGGTCTCTCCCCAATGATAGGGACCCAGGCTGAGGGTACAGCAGGGTCCTGACCACCACCTGCCCTGCCCGGGCACCCCTGAAGCTCAGGCCCCCCTTCTGAGAGCCGCAGGGGAAGGACAGGGGGAAAGGCGTGACAGGAGGCCAGCCCCACTGCCAGGGAGTCGGGGGGGCTGGCGGGGAAGCACAGGGCTGGCCAGGGCCACTCCACCAGGTGGGCAGCAGGGCTTCTGCACAAGGCCAGCCCCGGGCACATGCTGGAAATGATCTAGCTACAACAATGGACCTAAAGGGATGAGAGCAGGTCACCTGCAAGATGTCCTGTGGGGCAGCAAGGACAGGATGGACCCTGTGGCCCAGCAAGGACCCTGTCCCACAGAGCCCTCAGCTACCAGCCCCCTTCAGGTATCTTTGCCCTCCACTTCCCCATGGGCATGCGGCAAATCTCTCTCAGACGGCCAGGGCTTTGGCTCCCTGCTCACTGTCTCTGCCCTGGGCTGAAGTCCATCCCCGGACCAGAGAGCTCAGCCCAGCCCGGACTACCCCCACCCTCGAGCCGCAGGCACACCTTGCCCGGCTTGTACAGCTCGTCCTGGTCAGCCGCCTTGGCGTCCACATCAGTGATGGCGTGGAGCAGCAGCTCTGTGATCCGGACGCCCTCTTCCCCTGGGAGGGCGGCAGCGATGTGGAGCGGGGTCAGGGCCCTCAGCTGCAGGTGAAGCATGGGTGGGTGAGATGGGCAACCCTGGAGCCAGGTGGTGAGGGCTCAGGACTCTGGGCAGGGGCAGACACCAGGGGCATGGCAGCCTGGCCTGAGGGGGCGGACTGGGCCTTTCTAGCACCTGTCTGGGGTTCCCACAGCTCAGCCCCGTGAGGTACAGGACAGAAGGCCTGCAGGGTAGAGGCAGAATACCCACTCAAGAGTGGTGGACTGAAAGTTCTCAACACACCATGCAAGCCACATGTGTCTGGGGCCACACACCCAACGCTAGGCCTGAATAAGAACAATTTTCAACTTCCACTAAGGAAAGCTCCTTCTGGTCCTTGCCAGAGCCTGGCTCAGATGCCACTGCACTGCCAGTCATGCACCTCCTAACTGGCCCACTGTCACCCACAGCATCCCGCTGCCATCGGCGGGGTCCTAGAGGACTATCCCTTAGGTCCAGATCCATGTGACACTGGCTGTAGAAATGCTGAGAACTGCAAGCCACCTCACTAGCCAGTGTGCTGGGGTGACAGAGAGGAGCTGGGGTGCTTGTCTTGCTTTAGGGGTTTCTTCTCGTTGCACAGCCAGTCTAGAAAATGGCACTGTGTCTGTCTCCGCCAGCGGGAGCGCTGACCCATGGGCACTGTCAAACAGAAACACCACGCTCACGTTGCCAGTTCAGGGATCCAAGTAGCAGTCTGCACCTCCAGTGATTCTTTGGAATCCTGGCTGCTCCACATAAATGGGAAGGAGCTCACACCCTGCTGCCACCAAGGTCACTACCCTGCTATCCAAGAGCCTCGACGAGGCGCTGCAGGAGGAGTGGGCCGCACACCACACCTGCGAAAGCACAGTGGGTGGTGTTTGGGCCTTCCAAGAATGGGGACACCAGGATGACCTCAAATGCTATAGTGTGAAGATGGGGGTCCCCAAAAGCCCTGTGGTAAAGGCTGGTCCTGAGGGTGGTGCAGCCATTGAGGACTGAGGCTAGGAGAGGTCCTCGGGCCACTGGGGGTGTGCCCTGGAGGGGACTGTGGACCCCAGCCTGCCCTTGCTCCACTTTGTGCCCCTACCATGATGGGCCTCCCTGGCCAGCTCGAAGCAAGGTGGCAACCTGAGCTTGGACTGAAACTCCCAAGGAGGGCCTGAGGTAACTTACGGCTCACATGGAGAGGGCCCCCAAAGCCTCATACACTCATAGTAGGGCTTTTTGGAGGTGGCTGGATCTAAGGTGTGTGATACTGGGATTAAAGGTGTGTGATAATGGAATGGGGCCAGCACAGTTCTGGGTGTGGATAGAGGATGCCCCACTGTGGGTGTGGGTGGCACTAATCAATAGGCTTGTAGCCTAGATAGATATAAAGGGAGAGAGGGAAAGCAGATTTGCTGCTGCCTGCTGCCTTCTGCCTACCACATCATAGACTGTTTCTCCTCTGTGATGCCCCTCCGCTGTGCCACCCTGCCTTGGAGCCGGCCGACTATGGAATGAAACCTCTACAAACTGTGAGCTAAATAAACCTTTCCTCCTTTAACTTTGGGGTTCAGCTATTTTGTCTCAGCCATGAGAAAAGTAACTAAGACAGTAAAACATTTTCCCTGTTCAGGTTAGTTATATTTACTAATGTGAAAGTCAAATAATGAGCTGAACCTTACCACCAACAGAAGAAGTGCAAAATTAAGCCACGTTGAGGTGCCAATTTCTGCCCAGAGGGGGGATGGGCTTTGGGGAACAACGAACACCTGCCTCCTGGTGGACAGATAATGGACATAGCCCCGGCAGGGCCTAATTCAGACACACTCAGCCAGCAGGACCACCGGGGAACTTGCTTTTCTAGCACTAACTGCCAAGTGCCATGCAGGTCTCAGTTTATTCACAGCAATTTCACTTCAGCAAAGATGCAGACCAGGTCAGATAACACCCAGCAGCACCAGGAGAAAGAACTACTACGCAGTCCCAAAATATGAGGAACTTTCTATGCACTGCCATAAGAAGTTCCCCTAGACAGCTACCTAAGGAAAGAAAAAAATCAAGGCACAGCCTGCCAGCCGCCTGGGGAGCCAGGGCGCGGAGCCGCCTGCACGAGCAGCCTGGGCCTGTCTATGGCAGAGTTCGGAAGCTCTCACCTTCGACTTTTTCTCCAAGTTCTTTCAAGTTTGGTTCGGAGTCTGGCGGTGCATGAGCCAGCGTGAGGCCTCCTTGCTTATCCTACTTTGCGGGACCCCACAGGGGCTGCTACAGTACACAGCTCAAGGACCTTGCTCTGGCCTGGATGTTTCTCCTCCCAAATTCAAGCAGCCAACTACGGTCAGAGTCCAGGCACAACGGTAAAATGCAGAGATAAGGCCATGCTAAAGGGAATGAAGATGTCAGGCCAAGCCCTCACTTGCCGACACACCAGTTTCCCTCCCTGTCACAGAGCGGCTAACAAGGGCCATGGGAACAGTCACCAAAGCTCAGCCTCACCTCTTCTTCCCAGAAAGAAAAGGAGTGGGTGGCAGGGCTGCGCACACCCCCACCCCAGGGCAGTCAAATTCACGGGGGCTGGGCCCTGTGCCCCAACACAGGTGCTTCTAGAAGCCCTGTCCCGGGAGGCAGAAAGGATCTGGGCCAGGCAGGAGGCTGCCCCAGGGGACAGAGTGGAGCAGCCAGAGGTTTGAACAAGCAAAGCTCAAGGAGCTGCGAGTCTGCAAAGAAAGCCCAAGGCAAAACAGAACTTTCTCCTCTCTGGGGCTCGCTCTCTGAACGCAGGCCACTCTACTCAGGAGCAGAATGCTCTTTGGAGCATGTCCCCTGGAAGGTGGGCACTGGCTCAGAATGCGGAGATGCCTCCCAGGAGGCCACGGTCTCCAGGCTGGGCAGGAGCAACAGAGGACAGTGTGGAGGAACCACAGTGGTGTCTCCAGAGACGAAGCATAAGTCGGATACACTGGTTTCCTCTAAAATGGGAAATCTGTGGTTTTTCTCAGCTAGGAGCATTACTGGCTGCATCTGCCAGGCAAAGGCAGAACCTCAAGGCCGAGCGCATTTTGCTAAGCAGCACCTGTCTCTCCACCTGCGAGCCCAACGCCCTTGCTCCCTGTGGGAGGCTCCTTTGGAAGCTCCTCCCTGGGCCTGCTTCAGAGTCCCCAGAGGTCACCAACACCTTCCAGCCAGGCGGTCCCTGCAGGGGGCACCCAGAGGAGCTACAGGCTGAGTGAGGAAGAGCCAGGGCCTTGCTGGTCCCAGATGGCTGTGCCTACCCAGGGTGGGTGCCTACCTGGGGCGGGTACCGGATGTCGGTCCTGGCCCCGCTCTCCAGCAGCAACCGCACCCCATCCACATCCCCGGCCTTCACGGCGAAGAACAGGGCTCGCATGGGCACACTGCACAGGTTGGGGTCTGCGCCTCGGTGCAGAAGCAGCTTGATGGTCAGCCACCGGCACCTGTGTCTGTGGGAACCAGCGGGAGGGACGCTGTTGCCCCCTTGCACAGAGGACCGCAGGTGCCCCCCAGGTGGAAAGCTGTCTGGGAAGAGCACTGACCCCACAAACACCCAAACTTGGCACTCACAGCCTTCCTAGAAAACACCCAGGTCACCCCCTTCCAGGGGGCCTGGTCCCTACCCCGGGAGGGACACGGCTGTCACCAGCCAGTCCCTGCTGGGCCCCAGACCTGGGGAGTCACTCAGCCTCGTTGAGGAACCCATGAGCAGGGGTGCAGGAGTCAGGAGCACTTTGTTAAGGGACAGGGATCAGAAGCGCGGAGCAGCACCGGCTCCATGTCTAGGAAGTTACACCACACATAGTCCACACACACCACACAAGTCACACATACCACACACATCTGCACACTCCGAGTACCACACACACCACTGGGGACTCTGCCCAGGGTGCTGCAGGGCAGTGAAGTGCATCCTCCAAGCTCAGGCTGCACCACGACTCCCACCCCGCCAGCCGGAGCACAGAGTCTTACTCGACCATGGACCACGCCATCCTCCTCATGGTGCCCTTGTCCGGGACAGCAGGGCTCTGCAGCGTGCTGTAGACCTGGGCACTCTTCTCCAGCATGTCCCTCGAGAGCCGGATGGAGTAGTTGTGCACACACAGGTTGGAGTCGAAGTGCACCTCACTACACACGGTGGACGCTTCCGGGCCTCCTGACGTGTCCTCCTGCCCTCTCTCCCTGTCACTGAGAGTGCCCTGTCCCGAAGGGGAGCTGGACTCCAAAGACTGCCAAGCACTCAAGGCTGGCCCATCCTCCTGGCTGCCCGAGGGGCTTGACGGTGGCTTCTGCTCCCTGCTGGCTGGGGTGGGTTCCACTATTTCGTAGGTGGACTGCACGTTCGTCTCCACACACAAGGGCGAAGATTTGGGGATGAGAAGGGACTTTGGATTTTCCTTTGGAAAGTACCCAAAAAAGCGCCATTAAGAGAGAGAAGAAATGGAAGCAGCTCACCCAACAACTGTCTCAGCAAGCCCCTGCGCCATCTCGGACAGCCCAGGCCTGGGATATGCCTCTCACCCTTGGAGAGGAAGGAAACACCCGGGCAGCCACCACCCAAAACCGGAGGCTGGGCAGGTCAAGCCTCAGGGCTCATGGCGCCACAGCCGTGGCCCTGGCTCCCGAAACATGGCCCATCCCAGACAGAGCAGCGCTCTGTGTGACACATGAACATGCAGCAGAACGTCTCACTCATGTTCTTTTTAAAGGATTACCAGCAGACAGGATCTTATTTTGGATCCTTTAAGCTGAATAAAACGCATTCTTAAAATTATTTTCAGCTGATTTGCTTTTTAATGTGGTTACTGGAAAAGGGCAAGTGTGCATGTGGCTCGTGCTGTGGTTTGCACCCTATTTCTTTCAAATACACTGCGCTCAGGCTGCTCTTGCTGTGAGCTACCACTCTCAGAGCTCAGGACCCCAAGGATGGCATTGGTGTCACCAAGAACTTGTGAGAAGTGCACATGCTGGGGACCGTCACGGATGCCACCCCTCATGCACACTGGGAGGGGCAGGTCTCGGGGTCCCCAGGTGCTGCACTGGAAGCTTTAAGGGACACAGGGGACTCAGCACATGGCATGGCATGCAAGATGCTGTGGGCAGTGCCCAGGCTCTGCTCCAACCCCTTTCTCACCAATCCTGGGTGAGCCTGGGCCACATGGGGGGAGGGGGCTGGTGGACATTAGAGGGACAGAAGGGCAGGTGGGAGCAGTGAGTGGAACAGTGGCTGATGGGGGCTGACCTGGGGTATGGTCCTCTCAGCAACGTTGGGCTTGAAGGACTCACTGGGGTAGTAGAGGAGGAAGCACATGTTGAGTGGTGTGAGGCCCTCATCTGTGAACCCGTTCACGTTGGCCCCGTGGTCCAGGAGAAGGCTGACGATGTCATTGTGGCAGTGCACCTAGAGGGAGACAGGCCAGACTCAGGGGACAGCAGCCGGCTCTCAGGGAGGGCTGAGGAGGGTCGCCTGGGCTCGTGCTGCTCCTCCTGAGGCCCCGCCATGGCAGGCAAGCACAGGCACTCTCAACAGAGTGCAGAGGAACACAAGGGCAAGAGTGAAACAAAGCTCAGAGAGGCCACACAGTCAGCTCTTCTTCTCCACTTGACCTTGTCTATGCTCTGGAGGGTGGGGCAAGTACAGCCCCTCAGCACCCCATGACAGCTGCTTTGTTCCTGCAGAGGGGAGCGGGGGACCCCACCAGGAGTGCACCAGCAAGGACGCTCATGGCTCAGCCTTCCTTAGTACCCACCAGGTGGGGGTGGGGGCTTACCGCGGCTGCAGCAAGCACAGAATAGCCCTTTGAATCAGCCACATCAGCATAGGCAAGATTGTCCTTCAGAATCCCATAAATCCAGTCGTAGTCCCCTTCCTCGGCCTTCAAGATCATCTCTTGGGAAAATTGCTCCTTGGGCCCACTGCATGCAAAGCCACTGCGGTTCCCCTCCAAGATGGCGCCCATGTTCCAGTTGGTGTGAGCTTTCTTGTTCCTGGCAACACAGGAGGCCTCAGTGGTGGACCAGGCTCTGGACTATGCAACACCTTCCATGGGAAAGGGCCCAGGGAAAGCCACCCCCTCTGCCCCTTGACCTCATTCCCCAGGCCCCACATTGCCCGGGGCCTTCTTTGTTCCAAGAGTCCACTCCTTGGGCACCCTGAGCCCTGGCAGCTGCACCACCAGCAAGTCACAATCACAATGGAGTGCATAGTGGTGGGGACATGTCACCTATAGGTAAAGATGATTGGGCCAAGTGCCTGTCCCAGCAGGAATGTGCTAGCTGCACACAAACCCCATGCGTCTCTGACTCGTCTGGATCACTCTGTCTGTTGAAAAACAGGCTCTAGAGCAGGAGTCTTGTGGAGCAGTGGGAGGCTGAGACATGCCTGGCTCCGCCACTCAGCACCAAGGACCCACATCCTGTTCTCTGCTCATTTGCTTTTCTGTTTGAATACAGATTTTTCATGGTCCCTGGGTTATTCATCAAACAACACTAAAGCCTCCTGTGTACACAAAAGTCTCACTCACAATCAACAGCCCAGAAATTTGTGGCAATTTCTGCAGCCAACAGTTGTTAGTAAGGTTAAGTTGATGTTTGCAGGATGAATGGCCAGCTGGCTGGAATGACGGCTGGCTGAGTAGGTGAGTAGGTGAGTAGCTGCGTGGTGTGTGCCCGGCTGGAAAGATGGTTACAAGGATGGATAATGGATGAAATGTTGGTTGCATGGATGGATGGATTGACAGGCAAGTGGCTGAGTGGATGAATGGTTAGATGGAGTGATGGTTCCATGGATGGATGGGTGGTTGTATCAATGGGTGGACAGATATATGGATGATTGGATGGACAGTTGGATGGATGGATGGACAGATGATTGTCTGGATGGATGGAATGATAGTTGCTGGAATGGCTGAAAATGTAACTACTTGTGGTTATCAAATATGTATCCTTAAAGTGCAGCGCTGCCTGAGGCCAGCATTTAGAAAAGGGATTAGGAACTTCTTGACTCTTAGCTTGTGGGAAGGGGACCAAGAGCTGGAGGGGCAGGGCTGGAGGGGGTGAGAAGTAGAACATGAAGACGTGTCACACTCATCACCAACTCCCCACCATGCGTGCGATCACTCCGTGCTACAAATATGTAGTGGTAAAAGTTTCAAAGAAAGAAAAACAACAAAAGAAATTCAACAGTTTCCCTTAAGTAGGTGCAGAGTATCCTGGTGTTGTGGAAGGGGTTGGCATGGAGTCACTGGAGACCCACAGCACAGCTTCCTGTGTACTGCCACCCTTAGGAACCAGAATTCCAGTCAGCCTGCACACCCACTTTGCCCCGAATCCCTTCTTTTGCTCTTGGCCAGATCCTGCACTTACATGATGATAACAACCTTCTCTCCAGGTCACTCCTGCTCAGGCACTCAGCCCATGGCACACCTAGCCACAGACACAAACCCTGGTTCAGGGTGCACTAGCTCAGACTCACAGAAGAGGAAACATTCCTAAGTCTCAAAGCCAGTATCTGCCCTGTGGGGTTTTCCCCCCAGGGCTCCACACCAGCTCTGGGACTGCCCGGGCTTCCCACTCACCAAATCACCTCCCAACCATGCCTATCCTAGAGCAGGGTTGAGTGGGGCTCTGGGGTACCCATTCCTCTGTGCAGACCGCCAGCCCATTCCACTCAGGGAGCAAGTATGGTGGGGACCTTCTCTTCCTTTCCACTCCTGGACTGTGCCCATCACTGGAACAGGAGCTGCACATTTACGTCCCCAGTGAGCAAGGCTGCCAGTCAGTTGGCCTCAGGGGCACCTGGCACTAAGGACCCTAGGAACCCACCTGAAGGGGACATCTGTCCACAGAGGGACAACTGGATGGAGGAGAAGGACCAGACTGATCACCTGAACTTATATGCCTGCTTCTGGATTTTGACCAATAAAGGTGTTTCGTTCATTATAAACCAGGGTTCCCCATCGTCGACAAATGGCGGGATGCCATCCATAAAGATGTGGGCGTCCAGCTCTCTGCGGAAAGAGCTTGTCATGGGCAGGTGGCAGTAATCAGTTGAGTAGACCTGTATCTCCATGGGCAGCGTCAGGTTATCATTCAGGAGAAAGCGCTTATACTCATAAAAGAAGGGGTCCTGCCCCTCAGGTGGGCCCCACTCCGCTCTCTCCTGGTCTGAGAGGCTGATCCTGTCCCGTGAGCGTGTGAGGAAGGCGGAGAACTCCGGGTAGCTGCGCACTGAGAAGCTGCCGGGCATCTCCGTGGCCAGCTTGATGAGGTGCTCGCGGAACCACAGCCCCACGTCCTGGCTACCATCGGGGTAGGTCTCGACGCCGGGCCCAAATCGTACGTCCGCTTTATACAGGCCCTGCAGGGAAAACCGACAGGGCCACGAGAGACGGCTCAGCGGAGCTGTGCACCGGTGACCAGTGCCCTAACACACAGGCGAAGCCCCTCAGAAGGCTGCTCATTCACTCAGCACACGCTGACTCCGCAGCCTCCACAGGTCAGAACCTCCCATTCCCCAGGGGAGGCGCTGGCGGGGAAGGGTGCCGGGGAGAAAGCAGGGGGACAAAGGGTCATGGGGGTCCTCTGAGAGGCAGGGAGGACAGGAAAGGTGGAGGTGCACTTCTGGGAGCCTCCGAAGCCAGCTCAGCCTCCAGCATTTTCAGGGACAGCTGCCCAGGTCAGGGAGGAAGAGGGGAAGGAGGGGAAGAGCAGCTGATCCCAGCCCCCTGGCTTCCTTGACCCTAGCAGACAGGACAATTTCCAGGGTTTTCCAGATGTTTCCATCACTTGGAGCAGCCTCTGTCTCACACTCTCTCCCTGTGTCTGTCTGTCTCTCTCTCTCTTCCCCTCACCCTCCTCTCTCCCTTCCTCTCCCTCTCTCCCTCTCTCTTCCTCCCTCCCTGTATCTCTCAGAGAAGAAGGAACAGCCCAGGAGGGTCTCAGACGAGAAACACTGAGCAGCAGTCCTGTGCGGGACCACAGGGAACCGCCCGGCTCCCCAAGAAAGTGACTCCCCTGAGATGGCACTGAGACGTGGAGGTCACGCAGGGCACAGGGGACAGCCCAGTGGAGGCACAGGGGCCTGAAACACAAAGCAGCGGGGCTCTGGCTCCCTGTGCCTGCACCTCGCAGGAAGCAGGACGGCTCAGTCCTGCACCTGTCCCACATGCACTCCTCCAGGCAGAGCATCGTGGTCAGGGTGGCGCTGAGGACAGGGGCCTGGGGAGGCTCGGCTCTGCCCAGCAGGGGTCACACAGGTGGAGCCCACTGGGGGGCGGGCAGGTGAAGGGCAGTGGGCGCAGGAAGGAAACAGAAGAAACAAGGGAGGCCGAACCTTCCCTTACCCTGAGAGCCACGGGCCGTGTCCTGACTGTGCTGCCTCAGGGTGGCCTGCGGCTATGAGCCCAGGGTCTTCCTGCCACCCCCGGGGTGACTGCAGCGGCCTCCTCCAGGCCCTCCCTGCAGGGCCTCTGCCCACACCACCCTCCCCACCCAGAGGAAACTGCACCTGACAGGGCGAGGGTCAGGAAGGGACAGGGCCTGTCGCCGATGCCCCTAGACCCCTAAACCCCAAGGGCCCATGGCCATCCGTCTCCCAGAGACCCCTCAAATCTGAGGCACTCATAAGCAGATGGGCACACCTTGAGACCACACTGTCAAAGGAAATAAATCAGATACACAAGCTTCAGTATCGAATGGTTTCTCTTATAAGAGAAACCCAACGTGTAACCGAAGGAGAGAGCTAAATAACAGATATATAACAAGAAGTACAGAGCCGGATCCTTTGCAAAAGGGAAGGAGACCGGGAGACAGCGGGAGGGGTGGGGGGCAGTGAAAAGAACTAAGATGTGTGAGGCGAGCGCGAGCGCCAACTGAGGAATGTGATCCCTACGTGCTTCCAGCACATACTGATAAAAATAAAGTGTCTTTGAAAGAGTCCTCAGAGGTGGCAGCACTTGCGATTCCAGCCCCACCGCTTTGTGGGAAAGTGCAGACGTCGTCAAGCAGGACTTTCTCCCAAAGTTCAGCTGAGCTGCTGCCCCGACAGTGAAGGTGTCCCAGGCACCCTGCCAAGGCTCCAAACACAGATGACCTCAGAGGACTGCACCCCACCCCCCATGACAGTGCTCAGAAAAATGAGCTCCCTGCACATGCATGACCACCCCTGTGGTGGACTGACAACTGGTGGTCAACTTGTAACCCCCAGCTGAACTGAGTAAGCGTGGTGCTGGGTGTGGGAGGCCCACCTGGGGATTGCTGCCAGCAGCAGGGAGAAGAAGAAGAGGCTGTCAGGAGCTGGTAGAAACTGTTGGGAGCTGGTAGAAGCTGTAAGGAGCTGTAGGGAGCTGTTGGTTCTCTTGGCGGAGCTCGTCATGCTGGCTTTCCTGATGAACTTGGCTGTTCTCAGCATCCAAGGAGCTCGGGACCTGGTTGTTGCTGAGGATGGTTTTGGTTCACTTTGGGGGAGCTCTGGTCCTCACGCTGAGCACTGCTTCCTGGCTCCAGAGGGAAAGATGATGCACTGCTCAGTCTCCTGGAGAAGCTTGTTGCATTGGCTTTCTTGATGGGAACTCGGCTGTTCTCGTCAGAGGAGCTTGGGACCTCACTGTTGCTGAGGATGGCTGTGGTACTTTTTGGGGGAGCTCTGGTTCTTACTTTGAGCATTGCTTCCTGGCTCCAGTGCAGATCCCTCAGCCTGCTAGCACAGATCCTTCATCCCGCTGGCACAGACTTTCTAGATTCCACCACTGACCTTTGGGCCTTCCCAGTGCAGATCTGTGAAACAGGCCTGCACAAGACACTGTTGTGGGCTCTTGGCCTCCAGATGGACTCATGAGGGGCGTTGTTATGCCCTCTAGATCTTCAGTTGGATTCATGCAGGATATTGCCGTGGGATCCAGGCCCTCAGCTGGACTCCTTGGTCTTTAGTGTGTGGACAGATGTCCTGCACTCTTTGTATATGATTCTTTGGGGGACTATTATAAATAATCTTATAAAATATGCATCTTGTATTATATTGTTTCCCCTTGTAAACCCTGACTACAACCCCTGCTCTATGCCAGCAGCACAGCCTTACTCAACACCTGCTGCACTACTGCACAGGAAAGCCATGCTCGGGTGGTCCCTAGCTTCCAAAGTGTGGACACAGCACACGGCAGTAAAATGAGCCAGTAACCCTCGGGACTGCCACACCTGAAGAGCTCGAGGCCAGCAGCCAGCAGAAAGCTGGCAGCACTACGAGGAGATCTGTGGGAAGCTGTGGAAGGGGCCGTGGGCTCAGTGGCCGAGGTGCTCTTGGGGTGGCTGGAGCTGGCGAGGGCTGGGGCACTGGGGGCTGAGAGCCACTGGCCTGAAAGCCAGAGCTACAGACATGAAAGCAGGGGTTCCAGCCCCGGGCCCATTAGGGACTGGACCCCATAGCAGGGCATGAGTGGCAGGGAGTGAGTAAAGCTTCCTCTGTATTTGCAGCTGTTCCCCCAGCTCACTTTACAGCCTGAACTCTGCCTCCTTCAGATAAGCATGCATTGTTAGACTCTCATAGGAACGTGGATCCTACAGTGACCTGTGCACAGGATCTAGGTTCCTATGAGAGTCTCATGCCTGATGATCTGAGGTGGAGCTGAGGCAGTGATGCCATCCCTGGGGAGCAGTTGCAAGTACAGACTGCCATTAGCAAAGGGGTTGGATGGTACAGAGACCACAGTGAATCCACTGCTTACAGATGCTATCAAAACCCTAGCAGTGGGTAGAAAGCAACAAGCAAGCTGCATGTGGTGGCAGGCTTTGTAGCGGTGAGCAACTGGCTGTGCTTCACTGGCACAGCTGCATCTGGTGGAGGCTGCAGGTCAGACCCCCACACCTGCGTCAGTGAGCACCCACATCGTGAGCGCCCGCATTCCCTGTGTGACCAGCAATCCAAGGAGCAGCTGAGTCAGCAGGCGGGCAGGAGAGGAGTTTCCACAGATGGCACCAAGGTGCCAGTCCCCAGTGTCCTTTAAACAGTGCTTACCTGGACGTTCCAGTCCCTCTCTGCTTAAAATGTCCCTTTCACGAGCCAAGAGTCTTAGGAAGGCAAAAGCCGCATTTCGGGGTAGGGGTACCAAGTGCTCTAGTTTTTCCCAGGGACAATTCAACAGATTTCATCTGTACACTGAAGGTCTTTGGAGACAGCGTGACCCTGAGAATCCTTACCAGCATCAAGGCTGCAAACATATCCCCCTCCAGCACCAGAGAGCTTTTTAACAGATCCCATAGTAGTATACAACTCAGAGAGGAGACAAGAGTGAAGAGAGTCTGAGATTCTTGCATGTTCCCAAAGGAAAGCAAAGGTATAAATTAATAATGGATGCCAGACGCAGTGGGGCATGCCTGTGATCACAACCACTATGTGCCACCATGTTTGGCATAACCTTTAAAAACGTAAAAACTGGCTGGGGATAAACTCAGTGGCGTAAGTGCCTACCTGGCAAGCACAAGGTCCTGAGTTTGATTCCTAATACCCCCTGCCAAAAAAATGTAAAACCTGTTTCTAGTTTGCACCACACCAAAAAAGCCAGGTGGGCAGATGGCTTCTGGGTGGTGGTCTGCTGAGCCCTGGAGCCAGCGAGGGAAGGGCCTGGCCTGCAGCAGGTGTGGCTGTGGCTGTGACTGTGACCTGCAGGAGGAGCCCTGCAACCTCTGATTCCCAGGGCTCAGCCCTCACTTGCCCACTGGACAAGCTCTTCGGCATGACCAGTGCTGTCCTAAGCACCTCTGTGTCACCAGGGCTCCAGCCTTTCTCCTACAAGGGTAATTCCTTCGGTTTCTCTATACCAGGAACTAGCAGTCATAATAGTCATGATTTAGGCAAGTCAGCATTAACATCTACAGCCACTCAAGGAGATTCACGATTATAAAAAGTTAATCTAGCCAACAGTGATATCCTTGCACTCAGTATTGATGCTTTCTTCTTAAAGTCACTGCCTAGGTGAGGAGAAATGCGTAACTATCACTACTTAAACAGACTTTTCTTTTCTTGTAAACTGAATCTTTCTTTAAAAAAAATCCTCAGATCTACAACGTCCCCTCGCCAAAGAGTCTGTCCTTTCTAGTTGCTGCCTTTCTAGTTTGCTGCCTTTCTAGTTTGTACCACAGACTCTGGATTCAGCGGGGAAACCGCTACATTTGGGGTAAACAGCACCTCGAGGGCAGCCCGTGCTCCCACTGCACACTGCAGAGCGGGGTCCTGGCTCCACTCCTTCAGGACAAACCTGACTCAGCTTCCTAAATCCTCTTCTTTATCCAAGGAAGATTTCTTTTTTAAAGGAGCTTTAAGTAGTCTGGGACTTGAGTATCAAAATATAAAAGCTGCCCCATTTCAAGTGTTTGGGAGAGAACATCAACCCACACCACCGGACACGTACCCGTCCTAAACAGAATGACTGTCATTTTCCTTTACACCACGGGAACAGAAGAGGAAGCCTTGCACATGCTCATCCTCTTACACATGTGCACCCAGCGTGGCTTGAGGTCTGCAAGAACAGAGCTGGCTGAGGCTTTGCTCCACCGCTCTCTGACCACCTCTTCTCAGTCAGGGTGGCACTGGCCCGCCCTCATCTCTCTCCACTTTGCAGACAGCATTCTGAGATTCTGACCATGTTCCGCAGTCTCTTTGCAGATGGTAAGGAGGGAATCTTCTTTCAGCAAAGCAGAAAGGATGCACTGCAGAGCCTTCCATCTCCTTCTCTTCTCTCCTCCCGCTCCTCACCCCCACAAGACTCCGAGGATGTAGGCGCCATACACAGCTCAGTATACGAGATCAGGAATATTAGCAAAACCCTGTCTCAAAATTTTAAAAGAATATTCTAAAGGGCTGGGGATGTAGCACAATTGTAGAACATTTGTCTGGCATGTGCAAAGCCCTGGGTTCAATCTCCATTACTGCCAAAAAATAACTAATAGTAGAATTAACAAGTCACCATGCTCATGCTGTAATTCTTAGGGCAGTGCTAAAAGAAGAGAAAAAGAATGTAAAATTCTCAAAGTGACAATCTGAAAATAAAATAAATTTTTAAAAAACTACATCAATCCAAATGAAGGCAAGAAAGAAGAAATATTGAACAAGTAAAACAGAAAGTGCAAAAGATAGTAGATTGAATCTCAAATCTTTAACTATTTCTATTAAATGTACATAGTGTAAATCAAGAGTTTTCCAATAGAATGTCATGGGTCACACACCTAATTTAAATTTGCTAGCACCCACATTATGAAAAGTAAAAACAGCCAGGGTAAGTAATTTTCAACTCACATTTTTATTTAACTCTGTCCGAAATACAATTTCAACATACACTTAAGAGTCAAAATTGTTGAGATATTTTGCCTTCCTTTTTCCTCAATGTATCTTCAGAATTTGGCATGTTTTGAGCTACAGCACACCTGTTTTAGTTACTGTTCTCATTGCTGAGACACCCAAAGTTAAAGAAGGAAAGGTTTATTTGGCTTATACTTTGTAAAGATCTCAGTTCGTAGTTGGCTGGCTCCAAGGCAGGATGGAATGGCAGAGGAGAAACAGTCCATGGCAGGCAGAAAACAGGAGGAGAAGGCCAAGCTACAAGTGACAAGAATAGCTTTTTTCTGTCCCTTTATATTCTACCTCGCACACCTGCCCTTAGGGCAGGTAGTACTCACACCCAGAACTATGCCAACCAATCAGCAGATTGCTTACTAATCATACATCCTTAATCCCAGCATCACATACTCTAGATGGAGCCAGCTCTGAAAAAGCCCCACTTATGACAGCACAAGGCTCTGTGGGGGGCATTTAGATACAAACTCTAATACACCCTAATTTGGACCTCCCAGATCTCGAGGGTTCAGGAGACACCTGAAGGATGCAGGTGCCATACACAGCTCAGTGTACGTCATTGCTGAGCATCACAGGGGACAGTGCAAGGCCAGGTGTCAATGGCAACTAGCAGACTAGATTTAAACAAACACAGATGCACACATTTTAAAAAATAAAGAATATTTAAAACAGTAAAACAGAGAGGTTGTAAGAAAAGCTATAAAGAAAGATACATCAAAGAAAAATAACCTCAACAAGCTGATACAGCCTTACTAATATCTAAAAGTTAGACTCTAAATCATAAAATATTGTAATAATTTTTAAAAGACAGTATCATTTCATAATAATAAAAGGTTCAACCTACCAGGAAAATATAATGAATCTAAAACTCTATCCATCAAATAATATATTCCTAGAATACATGAAGCTAAATATATATATATATATATATATATATATAAATTCTTGACAGAATTGTAAGGCATTAACAAGAAAATTCACAGAGTAAAGGAGTCTAATACACCTGGTTCAGTCTTTGATATAACGACACAAACAGCAAAAGTGAACTGAGGCTCACAGAGAATAGCATGGTCAACAACTGCAGAAATGGACATTCTCTTTGTGAGGACACAAACATTTAAAGAGATTGCCATGGTCTGGGTCCTAAGAATTGAAATCACACAAATTATATGCATATATAGTGATAGTTGATAGTGTCAACTTGAGTGAGAAACACCCAACTACATTGGCTCAGCACAGTTCTGGGTGTGGAAGACCCACCCTAGGGAGGATGGTCACTGGAAAGGTATAAAAGGGAAACAAAAAAGGAAGGATTGCTCTGTTTTCTTCAGAGGCGCTCCAGTCTTCACTTTCACCTTGGACGTTGTCTCCTGGCTTCCAGCGCAGACCCTTCAGTTTTCCACCCCAACCCTCTGGCCTCCTGATACTGACTCACACAGGACACTACTCAGAGCTCCAGGCCTTCAACTGGATCCTTCAGACCTGAAGTGTGCAGACCGACCTTCTGCACTCCTCCACACCTGACTTTGTGGGCAGCTATCATAGACCAATTTTGTAAATTCGTATTTATTTGTATATCTTGTATTGTATCAGTTTCTCTAGTAAGCACTGACTGATACAGTAACAGTTAATTAGAACCTAAATTCTGAACTTAAAGCAATACTCTCATTAAAGAAAGAAGAAAGCACAATAGAAATTAGAATACAATTTGAACTGAATGAAAACGGTAGTACAATGGAGTCAGAGTAACAGAGAGCCCGTATGTACACTGTGTAAGAAAAAATCAGAAAGAGCAATGCTAGAAAATAATACCAAATCATGGTAGAGGTGCATAAAACAATAAACAGAAAATGAAAAAGAACCAAACAGAAAGAAGACCAATTCATTCAAGAAATGCAAATTAAAACAACACTGAGAGTCCATCTCACCCCAGAAAGAATGACTGTCATCAAGAAATCAACCATAACAAATGCTGCAAGGGATATGGGGAAAAAGGAACCATTCTCTACTGTTGGTGGGAGTGTGGAAATCAGTGTGATGATTTCTCAAAAAACCAAGATTGGAGGTCCCATTTGACCCAGCTATTCTGCTTCTGGGTATCTTCCCAGAAGAATTAAAAACACCATACCACAGCGATATATGTACACCCATGTTTATAGCAGCACAATTTGTAATAGCTAGATCCTGGAAACAACCCAAATGCCATCAACTGAGGAGTGGATAAAAAAGATGTGGTCATTTTACACAATAGAATATTACTCAGCCTTAAAGAAGGATCAACTGGAGACTTTTATAGGTAAATGGATGCAACTCGAGACCATACTCATAAGTGAAATAAACCAGACTCATATGTGCAAATATCATATTGTCTCCCTAGTGTGAGAAGCTAAAAGAGTAAATGTGATCCAAAATGTACAATAGATAGTGTAAAATGGGAAGAAACTTCAAAAAGAAAGAGAAACTGGTTTACGGGAATGGGAAAAAAGAAGGGAAAAGCAAAAGGAAAAATATATATATATATGTATATACAAAAAATAGTTAAGATAGGTAGGCTGCTAATTTCTCTCAGTTGACTGAAAAGGTAGATCTGTGCTAATACAGTCTGGATAATTAAATGCGGATGTCTCCTACTCTGAGCACCTAACTTAAAGATAAAGATGCGCAACGCATTGACCATTGTTACTCTCCTATCATACCATTTTGGAATTCTGTTCTTATGTTTATGTGTTTGTTGTGTTTTTGTTTCTTTTTCTTTAAAATAAAAATTTAAAAAAGAAAGAAATATCCAGTGGAAGAATATAAGGGTAAATATGAAGCCAAAGAAAGAAAGAAAGGGAGGAAGGAGACCAACTAAGCCAAAAGCAGATTCTCATGGTAACAGAACCATAACATTCGCAAAGTCTGGCGAGACTAACCAAGGGAAAAGAATGCGCGCAGGCCAGGCATGGAGGACGTGCTCAGCACTGCCAGTCAGGGAGGGAGCGGCCACCTACGTGCAGTGACTGTGCCCACAGGAGCTCTGTGAACATGCGAGGGGACGCAAAGCCACGCAGTCCCAGGGCAAGTGGGGCCTTCGCTGGCCACAGGACCCCGCAGTCCCGCTCTCAGGAGTTTACCCAATGTACCAAAAGTGAACAAGTGAGGCGTCCCTCATGTGAGCACTTCAAGTGTTCAGGTGCGTGTTCCCATCGCTCGCCTGAACACACGAGGCCCGCCCACACTCAGCACTTGAGGCCCAACCCTCACACGCACAGGGCCTCTCACCTGGAAGAGCCTCGTCTTCAGGCTCATGCTGCCGTAGCCTTCCCGCTGGCTGAGGTAAAAGGTGCCAGTGAAGCTGCAGCCGTCCGGCCACGTGTAGGTGCCCAGGCCGTGGCAGTGGTCACGGTAAAACTGCCCACGGTAGGCCTGTGGGCAAGAGGTCAGTGAGGCACCTGGATGCCTGCAAGTGGGCTGGGGAGGACTGCCTCGAGGGGCCTCAGCCATAGGGCCTCCGTCAGGCCGGGAGAGGTAGACACTCAGACCCCAACACCCATGCCACCCTGCCCTCTGCCTGCCACTGCATGGGGATGCCAGGGCCCAGGCAGGGCCAGTGCCCACCCAGGCTCAGCAGTCCCAGCCCCATTCTGTGGGCTACCCATCAGGGCAGCAGCCGGGACAACCCCCACCTCAGTACACCAAACCAAGCCCCTTGATGTCCTGGGTGTGGCCATTTTGTCTTGAAGAAGATTCTTTGCCATGTGTTTAATCTTGAACACAAGGCAGTTTCACCAATGTATGTTGCTGCAGTAATTCATAATTCTATTTTTATTTATTTTTGGATTTTTGAGACATAGTCTATCTATGCAGATCAGTCTGGTCTTTTTTTTTTTTTCTTTCAGGCTGGTCTTGAATTTGCTATATAACCCAAGCTTGCCTCCACCTCAGAGATCCTCCTGCCTCAGCCTCCTGAATGCTGGGATTACAGGTGTGTGCCATCATGCCTGGCATCTAATTCATATTTTATAACATCTGTACAGAATACAAATTTATCTTCTGAAGTCACAGCTTTGCAAACCTCGTTCCAGGTATGCTGACGGAAGTCTCACAACCTCCCCTGGGCATTCCAGGCAGGAGGTAGCAGCCTAGTGCTTCCTGCGATGGTCCCAAGGTTCCCATCACCGGACTCTTGGAGAGGCCTGGGCCCCACCCCAGGGAGGACATGGGTGGCAGCAGAAGCCACTTACCTCACCTGTGGGCCAGGAGAACTCGCCATACCCAAGCTTCACATTGAGCCCAAACTCTCCCTGGTAGACACAGCCGTCCGGCCAGGTCTGCACACCTCGGACCAGCTGGATGGGGGCCACCTTCAGGTGCTGCTCACTCAGGCACCCCCCAGACTCCTCAGCCTCCTCCTCCTGGGACACTGGTCCATTCCTAAAAGATATGGCACAGGGAGGGCTGCAGCAGGCGGGACAGCTCTGACAGTGACTTCCTGTGGGCCATGGGGTGCCACCCACCCTCTGCTTTCACCCTCACCAGGACCCCAGGGCAGGCACCACAGCAAGGGAAACTGAGGCACAGAAGTACAGGGATTGCCCAGGGGCACTCAGGAAATGGAAGGTATGGAAAGGGTATTTACTGACAAGGCCGAATGCTGCTGGCCCCTGAGGCAAGGCCAGTCAGCACTCCAGCCCAAGAGGGCCACCTGATCCTCAGGCAGGCACAAGGTGGGTGGCACAGCCACAGGACATGTGTGCTCCAGGCAACGACTTCCTGGGTGGAAGCCCAGCCCCGGCCCACAGCATGCCACAGTCTATCTGCCTGCCTCTCAGCTCTGGAGGGTGGGGGTGTGGGTGTCACTGGCCTAGAGACCAGTCTCAGGGTCCAGCTGGCCGCCTGGCCAACCTAGGAACCCTCAGAGGCCAACCGAGGACCCCAGGTGCGGAGCCCACCTCTGCCCAGGGAGGAAGGGTTCGGTTCCAGAGGGCAGATCGGTCGGGCTGTTGTTACCGGGAGGAGCCAGAGGGCAGCCATCCAGCCACGGCAGTGATAAAAGTGCGGGGCCCTGATTTGGTTTGTTTCTTTCTATTGCTCACCCGTGGTTATAGGCTGAATTTTAGCCCCCTCAAAATAGTGTTGGTGCCCGAAACCACAACAGCCTAGAAGCTAATCCTGTGTGGAGACTGGTCCTGACGGAGGTGAAGTGAGACCATCAGGCTCGATTCCGAGGGGCCTAACTCTGGCCAGAGGTCAGCATAGCCGGGGTCCGCACGTTTGGACGGGAGAGGCACAGGGCGCTGCTGCGCTAGGAAGGGGGATGGGCTGTGCGCGGGCGGAGGAGGCGCCAGCCACCCTTGGCCAGGCTGCGAGCGGAAACTTTGTTAGGCAGCCTGGGAAAATTCACAAACCTGTAATTCCTTGTTTCTCTAAGAGGGATTGGTGTTAACTGGCTTTTCAAAAAATAACGTTGGGGCTGGGGATTTAGCTCAGTGGCAAAAGCGCCTGCCTGGCAAGCGCAAGGTCGTGAGTTCGGTTCCCGGTACCGGAGAAAAACCAAAAAAAAAAAAAATAACGTTAACAGGGGGGAAAGATACCATGTGGTGGGAATGGGAGAAACGGAATTTTTTGTTTTGTTTTGTTTTAGGGTTTTGGTTTGGGGTTTGCGTTTTTTAAAACAGGGTCTCGCTCTGCTGTCCAGGCTGGCCTTGAACTCGCTATGTAGTTCAGGCTGGCCTCCAACTCGCAGCAGTCCCGCCTCTGCCTCCCGGGTACTGAGTTCACAGGCGTGGGCCCCACGCCCGGCAGTAGCGCTTACTCTCAACCCCACAGCAGTGAAGGAGCTGTGCCAACTCGGAACCCCCCACACCCTAAGAGTTACTCCTGTACCCTACTAGAGGCTTGCAGGGTGGCAGAGCAGCGTGGCAGGCGAGAAGGGCCGCCAGATGAGGGGCTCCTTACTGCGTCCGGCCCTCGGGGGCGGTTGGTGTAAGGTGTAGGCTTCTCGAGCTTTCCAGGGTCTAGGTGTTTCAGGGGGTGGGGGAAGTAACTCGTGGCTATCTTTCAGCCCGCCCCAGGGTGCATCCCAGCCACTCTGGACCTCGGTCCGGGTGACATCCTTGCCGGAGGGCCCCTGCACCTTGCAGTGACGAGGCCACAGCTGTCCGGGCGCCCGGGGTCCTCCGCAGCAGGGGGCTGGCCGGTCTGCTCCTCCAGCGGGCCTGTGGAGCTGTAGTCCGGGGTGGTGGAGGAACAATCCCTTTTCATGTCTGTCCTCTCCCAACCTGGAGGCGAAGCCCGGGACCACCACGCGTCCTCAGAAATCCTGCGAAGGATCCAGGATGTCCCCACTGCACCCTGCTCAGGTGAACCGAGTTCCCTTCCCCAGCCGTGCCAGCTCGGTCCCTCCACCTGCAGGCTGCACCAGGGCTTAGGGCTCGGAGAGCGCGCCCCCAACCGTGCCGGAGTCTCCTTAGCTCAAGACCAGGCCGCCGGAGCCATCGGGTCTCCCTGGAAACGACTCGGCCCCGCCCACCCCTTCTGCTCATGCGCCAGCCCCCTCTCCCTGCCTGTGCGCTGCCGTGGGGCCCCGGGCCAGGTGCCTCACACACCTGGAGGAGAGAGCTCTCTGCCGAGACACTGCCGAGATACCGGGCTAGGACTTAATCAAGACCCGCCTGGCTGCAAAGCTAGGCCTTGTACAATGACAGAATAGAGTGGAAGAGGGGGCACCCTGTGCACGGCTGCGGTGTTTGCGTCTAGACACGCTGCAGAGCTGAAGGCGTGCAGCGCCCGTGAGCGCCTCCGCAGGCTGAGGACACAGCCCTCACCAAGACGGCGCGGGGAGCCACCCCAGGCCGCCCCCATCCTGGCGAGCTCTCTGGGGACTACGGCCTCTGCACCAGGACTCGTGTCCTGGGGGCACCTCCTGCACACCCTAGTTGTCTCCCAGTTTACATCTCTCCTCCTCCTTGGCCTCTCAGCTCCTCGGTGCCAGCTTGATTCCTGGATGCCATTTTAGAGCATCACAAGGCACAAACGCCACTCAGGAAAGTTTCATGAAAACATCGTACAACATGCGTGCACCCTAACTGAAATGTAAATGCCACGATCAGCAGAACCGCTCAACTCCGACCTGCTGAGTCAGGACCCGAGGAACGCACCGAGGCAGACAACATTCCAAGCCCGGAGTGTGGCACACGCCTGTAACCCCAATACTCTGGGAAGCTGAGGCAGGATTTCAGGTTCCACCCAACCTGGGCAATTTGTCCACTTAGTAACATTCTGCTTCAAAATTAAGTGGTAGGGCTAGGAATTAGCTGAGTGCAAAAGCCCTGGGTTTGGTCCCTAGTATTGCTGGGGAGAGGGGAGCAATTCAGTGACGCGGCCGAAGGCGCCCGTGCAAAGCCTGGTGGCCCGAGCTAAACGCAGGCATGGAAGTGGACAGTTACTGAGGACGGCTCGGTTAGCAATCCTCAGGCTCCACAGGCGGCAGTGCGAGGTACCCAGTACACTTCAGAAAACTCGCTTCAAATAGGAAGGGCCTCAGGTTTGGTTTGATTCAGCGGCTCAGAACGCCAGCAAGGACCATTTCTTCTCTCTCTGCTTTCATCCAAAGCTGGCTTCCCCTCTCGGTGGTATGGACAGATGGGCGGGGGGATCTTCCAGACCCTCATATTAGAGCCCAAGCCTATTCTTGCGGCAGATAAGGGGATGTGGGCGGTGCTGATTTTCGTGAGCAATTAAGAGCCTGCTCCTGAAGCTGGGAGCAAACTGTGGCGAAAGGGATTTCCATTCTCTCCCTTTCTCAGGAAAGCCAGATCCTTCCTTAGCATGATGAGCAAAGTGTGGGCGGCCAGTCAAGGCCAACTGCAGACATCTGGGCGGGCAGTTCAGGGGCGCATCGGGTTGCCGTAAAAACCTCGTATCACCAATGACTGGGGGGTGCAGGGAAGGGGAAGGCTAGGCGCCCCAAAGGAAACTGTGCAGGCACACTCCGAAGATTCAACAGACTTGGGAGCGCAGGGGTCACAGAGACTAATGCCGAAGGAATGACTGCAAATCTGACGGGCGAAAATGCATCAAACTTTTACTGCCAGCAGAATAAAGTTGTAACTGCAATCAACTGCCTGTCTGTAGGGCCACTTAACAGCTCCTTTTGGCTATTCCCTGAAAAGCACCGTGAGAAAATAGACTCATGACGTCCTCTTAAACGTGAACTTCATGAATGTTTACTGAGTCTAAATAGGTCTTTTAAAGTTACAGCGCTAACCCTAGAAGAAAAACAAACACCAAGTAAATTCTGGTCTATGAAGATGAAACGCTCGTTTTATTTTATATGAGCCATATTTTACAATAAAAAAGGCCTGACAAAAAATTTAGTAGGAAGCAGATAACAAAGTATAACACTGTCACAAAAGTTAACACAGCAAGCCAGGCTTCCCGCGCACCACCCGCGGGTCGGCCTCGTGGCCCCTGCCGAGGACCCGGAGGCCGCCGGGCAGTCTCCACGCCAACTCCTGAGCCCGGCCTCGAGGAGCCACCCATCCCCGAGGCCTTCAGGACACGCCGGGCACCGAGGGCGAGGGGTCCGACAGGGAGCTGACACACTTCCGGTCATGGGCATTGCGTCACGGGTACCGGGCCAGACGCGGCCAATCCGGCCCTCCCGGCCGCAAGGGCCCAGCCAATGGGGCGGCGGCCCAGCCAAGCCCCCCCGTGGCCCCCCCCGCCGGCCCCCACAGAGCCCCTCGGGGCCGCGCGATGGGTCCAGGCGGAGGCGACGGGCGCGGGGCCGCAGAGGCCGCTCCGCTGCCGTTCGTGCGCGTCGCCCCCGCACTCTTCCTCGGGAGCGCGCGCGCCGCGGCTGCCACGGAGCAGCTGACGCATGCGGGCGTCACTCTGTGCGTCAACGTCTCCCGCCAACAGCCCAGCCCGCGCGCGCCCGGTGTGGCCGAGCTGCGCGTGCCCGTGTTCGACGACCCGGCAGAGGACCTGTTAGCGCACTTGGAGCCCACCTGTGCCGCCATGGAGGCCGCCGTGCGTGCCGGCGGCGCCTGCCTCGTCTACTGCAAGAACGGCCGCAGCCGCTCCGCCGCCGTCTGCACCGCCTACCTCATGCGGCACCGCGGCCTCAGTCTGGAGCGCGCTTTTCAGGTGGGTACTTCCGGGCGGACCT